TAACATAATAACCTTTATAGGGACACAATAGCACTGATACAAAAAATATACACACAATCAAAGTTATGTGTACTTAAACATTCACACGTCGAATCGACGTATGGTTATCTTTAAAGTACTATAGAATATGGTTATCTTTCTAGGGTTAAGTTTCATAACACACAATGTGAATCAGAATTTTTCTTGTATGTACCTAAGGGTACCTAAGTTAGAACACTCTCAGTCACCTAAAACCGAACCGTTTTACAATACGTTTGGTTATGTTGTAAGTATAGTTATTATTTTTGTGTTTTGTTTTTCAGATTCAACATGGGTAAACCCAAACCGAGATGTGAGGATACCCCCAAACTTGAAATATTAAAAAAGCCATCGACAAGGTGATGTCAAAAACATTTTCCCTGACAAAGTCATCTGAAGTCTATAAATGTGCCAAAAAGTACACTGTTCCATTACATTATAAAATTAAAACGAGGAGAAATAAAACTACAACTCAAAAAAGAAAGATATGGTCCAACTTTTACCGAGGAGTATGAAGCTCAGTGTCAAATAGGCGCATGCCTTTGCAACTGGAAAAGAATTTCTGAAATTTACTTTCGATCTCGATGAGCAATTAAAACTGAACCATCGATTCAACAAGAAAAGTGTTGGTAAACATTTTTACTACGATTTTATTAAACGCCATCCAGGCCTCAGCTTGAGAAGGCCTGAATCAACAAGTATAATGACAGCCGTTGGTTTTAATAGGCCTCAAGTTAACGGTTCTTCAATAATTTAAAATATTTGTGAAAAATATAATTTTGGTCCATCATCTTCATCTCTAACTTCGACGAAACAGTAATCAGCACTATCCAGAATTGGCTAAAGTGATGACACTCAAAAGTAATCGTCAAACTCGTTGACTTCTGCTGGGAAAGGCAAAAATGTCACAGTTATGTTCTGCATGAGTGCTGCTGGGTATTTTATTCCACCACTATTTATTTTGCCCAGACAGAGAGTTAATGAAAGTGGATTCAACACTGTGAAATTCTCAAAGCCATCAAAGAGAAGCCTGTGCTTTTGATTCTAGATGGACATAGCAGTCATAAAGATCTAGCTGTTGTAAGTTACGCAAAAGAAAACCACGTGCACATGTTAAGCACACCACCACACGCAACCCTCAAACTGCAGCCCTTAGAGCGCTTGTATACGTCCGTTTTATTCACCGGATAACGGACCGTTTTTACCGGATTCGCGGTGGTGTATGGTTTATAATGAAAGTGTTTACATGCACCGGACATCTGTCCGGCGAACAATTTACGCCGGATGTACCACCGTTTCCCCTCGGCGCGACGGACATCGGTCCGGCGTAAAAAAGAGCGGTCATCCACGCCAGTGTATGGGCGCGTGTTGACGCTGCCGTACGTATTGCCGGTTTTCTGTAAATTGAGTGCCGCCTACCTGCGTTCTTAAAAAATGGATGATATTGCCATGGAATTATTAACAAGTTTGGTTGAAAATAGGCCTGTACTGTGGGACAAAACCCAAGAGTGCTACAAAAATAGACAGTCGAGTTTTGCCGCTTGGAGGAAAATTTGTCATTTTTAATGCAATGAGATAAGGTTTATTTTTGATTGGAAAAAAATTACAGTTTGGGGTAGGTTGATGTGCTGCCCACCGTAAATTAAAATAGCAGTGTGTTACAAAATTAACGTTACATTGATTCGTCTTGCCAAGGCACAGCTCCTGCTGTAGAAATAAAATAATTTATGAATTCAGTTCGTATAACATTAGCACATCGTCCACCTCGTGTACTATTTTGTTCATTGGGTGCATCACTGAACACGTAAACCACTGATGATACATTGCTTGTTGTTTCTATGTTCGACTGTACACCTTCCATATCTATTATAAAATTATGAAGTACAGTGCAAGCCTTTACAATTGAAATTGCTGTGCTAGTATCTACATCCAGTGGACGATGAAATATTCGCCACTTATTAGCTAATATTCCAAAGGCGCACTCAACATAGCGTCTAGCTCTGGTTAATCTGTACTTATACATTCTTTTGTTTCTATCCAAATGGTTTCCTCCGTAAGGTGTCATCAAATGTTGATGCAAGCCAAAACCTTCATCACCTATTACTACAAACGGAATCGGTAAATCGGAATCGTTTGTCAGTGGACATGCTGCCGGCAATTGCAAATCACCATCTTTTAGTTTTTTCCAAAAAGTACACTCCTTGAATATTGTCGAATCGCATTCTTTTCCATACGAGCCCACACTGATGAATGTAAATTTATAATATGAATCAACCACTGCTAATAATACGATGGAAAAGAAATCTTTGTAATTCATAAACATGGAACCACTGTTGTTTGGCTTTTTTACTCTAATATGCTTACCGTCCACTGCACCAATGCAATGGGGAAAGTTTGCTCTAGTATTAAATCCATTGGCGATATATTCCCAGTCAGATATTGTGTTGGGTAATAACTCCCCATGCAAGTTGTTCCAAACAGCATTCGTTACTTCCTTAATAATGTTACTGATCGTAGACACTCCGATTCGGTAGGCGTAATGTAAATCCTTGTATGAACACCCAGAAGCCATATATCTGCAAGTAAATTTTATTATATTTTTCAGCTAAATCGATCATAAAGAAGTGGACTAATATTAGAGACAGCTGGATGAGGAGTATTAATGAGAAAAAGAAATCAAAAAAATCAGGATCGCCTGCGACACATCCGAGAGACTACGTCTATCATCGTCAATTGTTGTTCTTAAAAAAAATTGTGACGCCAGCTGACACCCATGATAGTGCGACTATTGCTACACCAAACCTAGCAGACGATAGTACAACCGCTATAACAGTTACATCAGATGTTACACATGACAGTGCAATGGCTCAGGACCATTTATTAATAAACCAAATAATCAAGATGTTACAAATGAAAGTCAACAAGAAACTAAAAATGAAAATGTAGTAGGTGGTTCGAAAAGACAAAAAAGCAGACCATCGAGGCAGAATTTAAACGTGTTTGATAAGAAAATGAGTGAGTTTATAGATTATCAAATGGAATGCAAGAAGAAAGAAGAAATGAAAGAAGACCGTAATTCGTTTTTCTTTAAAAGTCTACTTCCATCATTGGCAACGCTAAACGAAAATCAAACATTAGAATTTCAATCAGGCGTGTTAAATTTATTACAAAATATAAAGAACCGAAATGAATGGTCTCCTGCACAGTCATCAACATACAACTATCAACCAAATGTGGCACAATCACAAGGCTATTTTACATCGCAAGCATCACCAAGTACAGAGTCTCAAAGTATTCAATCGAATGCTTCTGATTTCCCAGACTTTCGTGATATGTAGTTGGGAAACTGTGTACCTACCAAGCGATTTTCTATTATTTCTTAATCATATTTTTAATAAATAATTTAATTATTAATAAAAAACAGTATTTCAATCTTACCTTATACATATTGCTAATTTTTCTTCTGGTTTAATGCTTTTCCTCATGTTTGTATCACGCTTTTTCAAATCTTTTTCCACTTTTTTCAAAAGATTATCAAATGTAGGTATAGTCATTCTAAAGTAGTTAAAAAAATGTTGTGGATCATTTCTTAACTGTAATTAATTAATTAGAGTTGTAAAGGCACCAACTGTTGATTGTCTTTGTACTATTGGGTTTAACCACAATCTTTTTCTACGACGCTGACAGCGATAATACCAGTAAATTATAGCAAGACTGTTTACGTCCATCGCTTCCAAATCAACGAGGAACTGTGCGCACTCTTGCTAATAAAAACCGGATGATGTGTTCACACGAGATCCCGATATGAGACCGTCGGATACGGCAATGCAAGATGTGCTGTGTGAATATAACATTCGGTTTTTCCAGATCCGATGAAAATAAGATTCGGGAAAACGTGGCTCGTGTGAACGTACCGTAAGCCACAAGAACTGATGCAGCAAGATGATTCCCAATCTTCAGTGATTACTGAATTAAGTTCAATCGCATCGCCTGATTACGATTTCGATTTTTCTAAAACTCCTTAATTTCTGTTTAGAGTATAATAAAACATTTTACTACCTACTATATACTTTTTTAAATAAATATAAGTAATTGTTAGTTTTTCCTTATAGCTTATTATTATTATACCATAATATTCTCCTTTTCTATAGTCCCCCTCTAAAGGATCCATCAATTATTCCATACAACTTTACCCAAAACATGTACCTCAGGTGCAAATCTACATTTTTGTAGAGAAAGTTATGGTGAATTCATTAAAAATAAAATAAAATTGTTCAATCAGATTCTGATAATTGTTTATTTTGCTGTTGCTGTCGGGTATAGAAAGATTTTGAATACTGACCCGTTTGCAATAAAAATAAAGTTTTTTTTTGACGTAGTTGTAGGTACCTCGGTACATAATTTTTTGACAAAAATAGAACAAGTCTTAGAGTAACGGCTAATCTCTCTGCCGGGGAAATAGATTTACGCATGGCAGTATCCTCGTGTGTTATTTTATCATAATATATGAATGGCTTGGTTTCAAAATAGGCCAAATCCAAAAAACTGGGTTTTCGAACTAAATATTGCGTCAGGATCACAACAACGAACTCAGTATTTTCGTGCTTTTCAAAACTCGCTAAATCCACTTAAAGTCTACTAAAAACAGTAGAGAAATACGACTTTGAGATCAAAATCAGTCAAATCGAATGCGATTGCACTTCAAAATCAGTCAAATCCGGGACATCCAATCAGCTTCTAGTAAATCCATAGTAAATACTATGGAGGTGTCGGCCATATTTATTTCTTTTCAACTCGCGGTTTAATCGGGTGAAGATCTTTGTGCCGGTTTTGCTAAAAAAAACAAATAAAACAATGGAAGAAAATTATGTGTGTGTAGCAGAAACTGCGCCTGAAATGTCCAGGAAACGGCCGCAACAAAAATTGGCATGGAAAGTCACAAAAACAAAAGTTTCTCGGTAAGTAAACTTTTCGAGTCACTCATATTTACAACTTGCAACTTTCGTAAAGCAGAGGTGCTCAACCTCAGGTTAAGGTACCTACGCACCAAGCGGTTAACCGCAATGCGGCCAGCCGTCCGGCTGACCGGAATCAAAAATTTGTGCAAGTAGTTTGTATACGCACTGCGATACGGCTGCCGACCGACCGCTCCGGTCGTTCTGAGCGATGCGGCCCGGCTGACGGCCAGTCGCACTCTGCCGCACGGTTGCTATACACACTACGCGGATGCCGTTAGTTTGCGGTTGGCCGCCATTGATGGTTTACGTGTTCACCGACACTCGCGCATTTTATCAATAATCAACTATGGATTTCGATACAGAAAGGTTTATAATTGATATACAAAATAGGCCAGCAATCTGGAATACAAAATCCGCAGAATATTCGGATAGAAACTTGCGTTCAAAAGCTTGGGAAGAGTTGGTGGATATTTATGGACCTGATTTATCACAGGATAAAAAAAAGAACTTGGTAAGTACAAATTACTTTATTTATACATATTATTTTAGTGATGATGGTTCTTGTTCTCTACTGTTTCAGCCTCAGCATATTTAAATGAAATCATCTTGCCAGCTTACCCTCCCTTCGTTCATGAAATAATCTGCAAATAATTCTCGATATCTCAATGCAGTTGTATTGTTTCTACGCACACTATCTCGAGCTATTGTTTCAGTTAGTGGATTATTTAGGGAGTCTTCAAAAGAATGGCCATCTCTGTCTCTCACGAAATTGTGTAGAATGCACGCAGACTTAATAATATCATTTGCTAAATCGGTATTAACATTAATGGGTCTATGGAAAATGCGCCATTTATTCGCAAGTATCCCAAAAGTACATTCAATATAACGTCTAGCTCGGCAAAACCTATAATTAAACGTTCTTCTTGTAACATTTAAATCACGTTTTGGATATGGGCGCATCATGGTTGTACTTAAGGCAAATGCCTCATCTCCTACAAATACGTAAGGGAAACTAGTGCTATTGGATTCAGAAATCGGTGCAGGTTCAGGTATGTTCAAGCGATTCTCCTGCATTTTTTATAAATGCTCGAATTCTGAAATATTGCTGAGTCACCGAATCTACCATATGCTTCAACATCAATTAAAACAAATTTGAAGCTGCTGTCACAAATCGCCATCAAAACCAGAGAATGAAACCTTTATAATTAAAGCACATTGATCCACTATTGTTAGGTGCTATAATTCTTATATGTTTCCCATCACAAGCCCCTATACAGTGCGGAAATTCTGCTCGCTGGGAGAAATCATTTGCTATTTGAAGCCACTTTTCTTCCGTTGGTTCTGGTAGGCATATTTCTTTTAAGCAAAGCTATATTGCGGCACATACTTCTCGTACTATTTCGGCAACTGTGCTAACTCCAATCCTAAATATGTAATGCAATTCAGCGAATGAGCACCCCGTTGCCAAATATCTGAAACAACTTGTTTTTTGTTGCAGGTCTGAATATTCAAAAAAAGTGGAGGAACATTCGCGACGCTTTTGTAAAGGCCCATAAAGCAAGGGTGAGCCCGAGCGGCTCTGCAGCGAAAAAAAAGGACACGTATGTATTTTATGATAATCTTTTATTTATAAAAGATACAGTAACTGTTAATCGCACAGACGGTAATGCTACAGCAAATGAATATGTTGGCACGACTACACGGAATGAAGACAATCCTTCATCAAATACCAGCACCAAAAAAAAAGAAAGAAAAATAATGATGATGACGGCATCGGTGCACAGTTAGTCGGAATGTTAAGTAAAAATTTAGAAAAAAGAATTTGGATGATGACGAAGACCGCCTTTTTTTCTTGTCATTGGTAAAGGATTTTAAGAAAATACCTGATCACATGCAAATGCAAGCCAAGTCAGATATTTTAAGGGTAATTAATGACTCGGTACAGTTTTCTGATTACTATGTAAACACATCGTTGAGTTCTTCAAGGCCCAATCCCTACCGTGGATACCAAACGGCGCATTATTCAAGAAATTATCCCAACAGTCAGCCTATGCATTCGTCGGAATTTGGACGACCATCTTCTCAAAACTCTGCAACGAGCAGTCAGCCTATGCATTCGTCGGAATTCGGACGACTACCTTCTCAAGACCCTGCAGCGAGTCCGTTGCAAAACTTGGATGTACAATCGCCATTATCAACCGGCCGACAGTCTCAGAACAGTGAAAACTCGTCTTACTTGGAACTTTTTAATTCTATAAATGATAATGACAATGTTTAACATGTGAACCCACTTTCTTTTGATAAAAAATAATAATAAATTAATCACACAATGTGTTTTATTTTACTTACCTTAGCACTATTGTTAACTTTAATTCCGGCTTAATGCAATTGCGAAATACTGTTTCTTTCTTTGCTATATTGGTTTTTAAAATGCTTAAAAGTTCTTCAAACGATTTCAGACTGATTCTAGTATATCCAAAAAACTTATCTCCATACTGTTTGAGCTCTTCGAAAAATAATTCCAAATGCTTGCTCTCATCTCGTGTTTGCAAATAAGGATGCACCCAGTACCTTTTTCTTCGTTTCTTTTTCTTTATATAACGCGAGTAAATGTAGTCAATAGCTGCGACTTCTTCGACGTCCATCTTGGAAATGAGTCGATCCAACCGTAAACCGCAACGGTTTTTCAACCGCACGTCCCGGTTGCGGTTGCGGCTAGCCGCCACCCGGCTAACCGCAAGCGCAACCGCATCCTGCGGTCTACCGGACGGCTGGCCGCAGTGCGGTTAACCGCTTGGTGCGTAGGTACCCTTAGGAGTCATGCATTCCTAGCTCCTACTATTTTTTTGCTATGTAAGTACTCGCAATTTTTTTCCTTGTGTTTGGTGATTGTGAATTTTATTTTGGAGTTGTGTTACTAGTTTTTTTGTACCTAATCTACCTACTTCCTAATTATAATTATGTACCTAACTGTATTTGTATTACAAATCATGGATGAATATGGTGGAGGAAATGTTTTTTGTTGCTATTGCATTCCCAGTTCTTAACTCCTACTTGCGAGTGGAGGGGCGTACATATTCTCTAGGTGTCATGTGTTCCCATTTCTAACCTACCTACTACTCAGTTTCTGTCTATTACCTGCCTAATTTTGTTCGTACCTACCTACGTTCGTAGCATTTCGTTAGTTTAATTTTCTTCTTTATTTACCTACACACATCAAAAAAAGTTTGCGATCAATAGCATAAGCTCCTATAATTCTTTAAATTTAACTTTATCAAGAAAAAATCTATGTTGTATGCTTTCTTTAAATAGGAATACCCTGTTTGAAATTAAAATATAAAACTATTTTTTATTATTTATTTTAAAAAATTGAGCCATTAATCATAATGTAATAGTCCCTTAGTGTCTATAGTACCATTGATTTGTACCATCAATGGTACAAATGATACTACTATGTGTCCTTAGTACCATCAATGGTACTACCGATACTAGCACGTGTCGCTAGTACCATTGCATCGAAATCATACAAAAAATATATACATATAATAGGGGTTTAATAGTAAATAAATAATTCCAACAATTCATTGAGGAAAAAACCTTCTTGGCTGTTTCCGCTACGTTTAAGTGCTAGATTAAATCCCGGCCACTTCAAAGATTACAATCTTCTTTTAAATAACTCATTGGAAAGCATCTTGTCTTTTGCCGTAAACAAATGATTACATTGACATTATAAGTAAATGTATTAATTGTGGGATGGATTATGTGTTTTTAATTAAAAAAAACGTATTCAATTCTAAACCTAAGGGATAAAATGGATATTAGTAATGAAAAACCAAATGTGAGCAGTGACCAAAATGATATAAAAATAGTCGCTCGTGGACGCGGCAAAGTGTTACTCTACAACGGCCACCAATATTATTTCCACGTGCGGTATAAAAACAACAATTGTTTGTGGAGATGTAAAAATTACAAAACCTTTAACTGTACTGGATCCGTTACGATTACCCAGGTAAAGTTTTAAAAAAAAAAGTTAATTAGCTTTTTTTATTTTTGCTTAGGGTCAATTCATGTTTAAGCTAATTTCGACCTTATTGGCATTTTGTAACTATAATGATTTTTCACACTTCTTTGATTAGTTCATTTTTGTATTAATTAGGCTGGTTGTTTCTGTGTACATTGTTTAGTGTAGTAGCCATTGTACATTGAAGTTTGCGTTGTGTGTGACATGTCCATCCGATAGGTATTTGTATATTTTTATTTTATTTTTAATTTTTACATTAAAAAAATACAAATTAATTGTAGCCGTACAAAAGTTCAAAAATTTAGTATCAATTTCTGTTTACTCCAGGATCAGTCAAAGTTGGTACAACAAAGGCAGCATTCAGAGAACTGTTTACCAGACGAAAATGAAAACATTATGTGTATTATCACAAGCTCAAGCTTAGACAGAGCAGCATCAAATGTCGAAGAGACAGTACCTGCGGTTTACAGAACTACCATAGCATCAATGAAAGATACAGGACTACACTTGATTAAGAAATTACCCACGTATAACAAATACAAATGCAAAGCATACAGAAGAAGAAGGAAATTGGCAGGAGTTGAGAAGATGGCATACAATGACATGAAAGAAGTTGAAGTGCCTCCAGATGACTTCCTTCTTGCTGATTACCGTGATGGCAACGATCGTATCCTGATTTTTGCTCTAAAAGAAGCGAGGGAAATTGTGCTTAACGGAAAAGTGTTCTTATGTGACGGGACCTTCAAGAATTGCTTGAAACCGTTCTATCAGCTTTATGTACTTTTTTGTGATATAGGCAGCACCGCAAATGAAAATAATGTGATTCCTGTAATATACGCACTCCTACCGAATAAGAAACAGAAGACTTATTTGATTATGTTTGAACTAATCAAGTCACAGATACGGATGTCTACAAACGAAAAAAACTGGGAATGGGAACCCCATAAATTTATAACAGATTTCGAACAAGCGACAATAAATGCCATTGAACGTGCATTTCCCCAGGTGTTACATCACGGTTGCTACTTCCATTTCCTGGATAAAATTAAAAGGAAAGCTACGCAACTTAAAATCCTACATAAATTTAAAAAAAATTGTAACAAAAACTTAAATAAAATAGTGAGCTTGTGCATGGTTCTCCCTCTTTTGCCAGAGTCCAAAATAGAAGAAGGTCTGAATTATATAATTGCAGAGAGTGTAATTATTGGTACTACAAAAGAAGTTAATGATTTGTTAAAGTATATAACACATTTTTGGATGCCGAAAAAAGCACAGTGGTGCAGTTTTGGCGAGAGACATCGAACAACGAATTGTTGCGAAGCATGGAACGGTCAATTTAACAAGCGTTTTATGAGAAAACCTACCACAACATGCCAATTTCTAAAAGTTCTAAAAACAGATGCTGCATACCATTCCGTAAATGCTTTGACAACAGAGCCACAAAACTTAAGATCAAAAGCGGTGATCGACCGCAACAATTACATTCAACACGTGCAAATGCAATTAATTCAAGGCGACATTACAGTCGCATTGTTTTTAGAAAAATTGCGTCGTTAGAAAATGTGAGTTTTATTTTCACAAGTAAATACACGGTATAAACAAGTATAATTTTCAATGGTACTAAGGACACATAGTAGTATCATTTGTACCATTGATGGTACAAATCAATGGTACTATAGACACTAAGGCGTAATAGTGATAGAAATTTCATAGAAAGAAAAAGACTGTTTAATTAAACTTAAACAACAATTTATTATTAAAAGGTGTGAATTCAATATAAAATAACTCCTCCCCTGGCTCGAATACATGCGAAGATCCTCCTGGGCATGCTGAGGATCAAGTTATCCAGCATTTCCTGGGGTAACCTATCCCATTCTTCAATAGCGGCTTCCCTGAGCTCTGGAACTGTCTGGGGACGTGGCTCACGATTCCATACTGCTCGTTTAAGAGCATCCCACGCGTGCTCTATTGGGTTTAAGTCGGGCGAGCCGGCAGGCCAGTCTAATCGTGTGATATCGTATTCTTGAAGAGCAGCATTGACTCGTTGAGCTCGACGTGCGGGCGCATTATCATCGACCAGTACAAATTGGTGCCCATGGTTTACTCGGAATGGTCTGACGATATCATCAATAGCAACTGCTTTGTACATGTCTGCTGTCATGAAGCCCCCGATACGGGATCAAAGGCGTTCTAGCTCCAATCATAATGCCACCCCAAAAGGACACCGATTTTCCGCCTTGCTGAACTGTTCCAGTGGCAGTTCTTTGTCTTTCACGGTCGCCTGGTCTTCTCCAGACACGGACACGTCGGTTATCTGGATGAGTGCTGATTCGGGATTCGTCAACGAAGAGACAGTTTTGCCAAATGTTTTCGTCCTCACCTTCTTCATTTTGCCGAAGTCTAGCCCACTGCAATCTTCGTTGTTGACGTTGCCGTGAATTGAGCGGAGCTCGCCAAGACCTCCGTGCTCGTAATCCAGCCTGGTGCAAGCAATTGCGAACGGTCTGCGTGCTAACTTCAAGCCCAGAGGCGGCCCTGACTTCTGCTTTTATTTTAGTGGCGTTGATTGTTGGATCACGGGCTGCCAGCAATCTAATATAGCGCTTTTGGGCAGCTGTCAAAACAGTTGGGCGACCGCTGCGGGGTCGGTCAGCTAAATTCCCCATTCCGTGATACCTCTGCAACGTAGCCACGACACAGGATTGGGATATAGCAAGTCTGCGTGCTATTACTCTCGTGGTGTATCCTTCTTCCCTCAAAGTTACTATTCTAGCTCGTAAAACCTCTGATAATCCTCTTGGCATTTTTTCAATCAACTTTCCGCGAAAAATATCTTGAATCGCTTATAATTGACTAAATCAGATTTCTGAATGAGCGTAAGCTAGGACTGAAAGCCTTTTTATATGAAAAAACAATTGAACGGGGTCATTGTTTTATGTTCTAATTTATTTTTAAATAAAGAATCTAAAAAGAAGAAAAAATCATAATATAATGTACAGTAACAAAAAAGATTTCAGTTTTTCGAAGTGATCGCAAACTTTTTTTGATGTGTGTACGTGTACCTACGTATTTGCTACCATCGCTCAAAATTGATTGTGAAGTTGTTTGTTTGTGCTACAAATCAATGCTTGGAAGGAGTGCCCTTTATAAACATATATTCTACATATATTTCTTTCAGATATTCACCAAAAGCTCCACCCAAAATTCAGATTCCCTGTAAACATTACTCTACTGCGTATAGAGATGCACATCACTTTTGAAGGATGACATAATAAACTTTCACACCGCTTTTTATAAGCAAGCAAGCAAAATTTCTCAAGACAATTTTATCCTGAAGCATTCCAAAGCTTCTCCTATTATTAGGCACAGACCTAAAACAGGTGTCAGAAATGCAAAAAGTATGAGCATTGTCTATTACGTTAGGAGGAGAAATACTTTAGTCCCTGTCTGTCAAAAGACATTCCTCTCTATTTTAGGCCTAAAAAAAGGCAGAGTAAATGGTGTCATAAGCAGAAATTTTAAAAATGGTGGGGTATCAGCCACCGAAAATCGGGGAGGTGACCACAAAGTAAAAAAAAATGAAGGTCAAAGAGCATCCATAAAGAACTTTATTAAAAAGTTAAAGCCTTTAGAAATCCACTACTGTAGGAACAGTTAGTTTAAGAAGCAGACAGTATTTGTCAGCAGAATTGAATATTAATAAGTTATACAAAATGTATAATGAGCAAGCGGAGAAACAATTCAAAAACGTCAAAGCATCTTACTTTCGAAAAATTTTTCGTGCACATTTCAATATTGGGTTTGGAAGCCCACGCACTGATGTTTGCTCTATGTGCCTGTTTTACCAATAACAAATAAAACACGAGAAGAATGAAAACAAAAAGAAGGATCTAATGATTATAAAAAGAGTGCATAGTTTGAGAGCAAAAGCTTTTTACAATTTACTAAAGGACGACAAAGAGGATTTACTGATACTGAGTTTCGACTGTCAAAAAAATCTACCAATGCCCAAAGTGCCAGATCAGATAACCTACTATTCTCGGCAATTATATCTTTATAATTTCACAGTCGTTGTTGGTCACTCCAAGTCACAACTCAACAGCAAGAACGTTTTTGCCTACACATGGACATAAGATTTACTACCAAAGGCCTCAAATGAAATAGCTAATGCGGTTTTTCATTGTCAGTGCACAGTCGTTGCCAAACATGAAAAGGCAAAAACGGTTCGATTAGTTGCAGATGGTCGTAGTGGCCAAAATAAGAATACAAGTGTTTTGGGCATGGCCTGCAAGTACCTCATTGACCATGCTCCGGATCACATTAAATCAATAGAAATTGTTTTCCTTATAGTTGGTCACTCCTTTCTACCCCCAGACCGAGTATTTGCCCAGATAGAAAAGAAAGTAAAAAAAACTGAGACCATACCTGGCCTAGAAGGGTATTTGGGATTTTTGAAAGAGCATGCTACGGTTTTTAATTTGGGAAGAGATGTGGAAGCTCAGCAATGGAATGAAGCAAGTACTCAGATACTGAAAACTACCAGTGCCTTGCATTTTTCCATGAAAAAATGCCAACGTTTTTTTTTTTGAAAAGGAATAGAAAAAGCCTACAACAACCGACAAGGCGATTTTAGAAATATATGTAAAAGAGGAAAATTTGTTGGCTAGATAATTCCTGCGCCCGTGCCTATGTACGTCAAAGTAAAAGACGCTAAACTAAAAGACGTGAGAAACCTACTCAACACACATTATGTTGAACAATGGGAAGCACGATCAGAATTAAAATATTTCAAAGAAGTTTTTGATAGGCCAGCAGAGTTACAAAACGCAATGGAAGAGGAAATTTGCGAGGTGCTAGAGGAAGCACCTCATTTAATGATATAAACCTAATTTTAATAATATACCCAAGTAGTTTTAAGTTTTAATTTAATTTTCCAATAAAAAAATATTATTATTATTTTTAATTCCATTCCTTACACAACCCAAAATACAGCCCATCCACAAGGACTACCCCTGATTTGATTACCCCTGACCTTTCAAATTCATCAGTAACAGAAATAGCCAAATCCATCGAGCAACATTCAAAATCGGTCAAATCCCAAGTTGGTATGTTTCAATATCAGATAATCCTTCCTTACTAACAAAATTGGACAAATCCATCATATCATAATTCTAATTTTTAGACCTTTTTTATATGGGTCTAGAGGTATTTTTACGTAGAAGTAAACTTATACACCTACTCTGAATTACACGCCAAAATCTTGCCATGATCGGAGCTGCCATATACAAAAACTAGTTTTCGTCCGATACTGAAAAAAAGTAAAGACTGGATTTGACTAATTTTGAAACCAAGCCATTCATATGGCTGTTAATAAAAGTTGAAAGGTTTCTTTTTTCATCCGAAAATAATTGAAAAATTTCGTTTCATCTTCTTCCAACTTCGTAAAAAGCGTATGAAATGCACCATATTCTTCCCTTTCCAATAATGAAATACCACAATGACCTTTAACATTTTTCTGTTTCTTTTTGTTTCTTCTTGTACAAATGCTAAGCCAATAAGACTTTTTTTTTTCTTATTATTCCACATTTCACACGTGTGTAATCTCTGACAACCAGTTTAAAACTAGCGCATATAGACGGCAGTCCAAGGTAACATACATCCGGTAAAAAAATTATATGTATACAAGGATATCCGTTTATTGACGGTCCGTTATCCAGTGAAAAAAACGGACGTATACAAGCGCTCTTAGACAGGGTTTATATGAAGCCATTCAAAAATGCATATTTTGAAGCCTGTGGGTTGTGGATGAGGGCAAATTCTGGTGCAAGAATAACAGAATATGAAATAGCTGCAATGGTATCGTAAGCTTTCACTCGCGTTGCAGGTTTAAATATAGAAAAATCTGGATTTCAATGCTGTGGAACTGTGTCTCTGAATCCTATTCCTATCTAATTCCTTTTTTCCTATATCCTAATATTTTCACAGATTTAGATTTTCTGCCATCAGCTGTAAGCTGTAATCGACGTGCCTTTGCAGTCTGATGCTGAACTTCTGCATTAAACTTCAGCAAATGAAGTAAACATTTGCAATGACGCCAATACGACTACACCCGAATCTCAGCAAATGAAGTAAACATTTGCAATTACGCCAATACGACTACACCCGAATCTCTGCCTCAGGAGCCTTTTGACGTTCATGAAAAGGAGAATGTTGATACTCAACTGTCAACAAGCAAAGCAATTGTCATTGCAATTTATTAGTTATCACCAGTCCCAAATGCTGCAGCAAAGAGGGCTCTCTTTTTCTGACGGCTGTCAGTCGACGACGAAAAGCTGAGAAAAGTGAGATTTTAACATACTGACCATACAAAAATGCGCTCATTGAAAATAAAGCAGCAAAAGCTAAGCTTCCTGTAGTTAAAATGCAACAACTGAAAATCAAGAAAACTAACGACCCGACTACTTATTTAGGTGTGCATGCTCCATCGTCGATCTCTTCGTCACTTTCCATCAGGTGATATAGAGATTAAATGCACTTACATTTGAATTAAAAAAAAACACTAAAATAAAAAAGACCAAGAAATCGACTGCAAATCTAAAGATAACGATGTCTCAAACATCAAAACCAATTACTCAAAATAAAACAACTTGTTATTACACAAAATAAAACAATCTGCCAAGAAGATAATGGTGAAGATTGGATTTGTTGTCAAATTTGCAATCAATGGTTCATGAAGCGCCTGCTCATATTTAAGAGGGCTCAGTTAACTACATTTGTGATTTTTGCAGGTTGTAAGTACAATTAAAGTTTTGTGATACTATAGAAAACATTCCTGATTATAATAATAATAATAACGCACTCACTCAACATAGCCACGTTACCCTGTGTTGCGGGTGCCATGGACACACACATACACAATCACAAATTACACCCAAACTCACGAGAGAAATAAATGTAGGCCATACAAATATTTCTCCCGGTCCGGGAATCGAACCTGGGACCTCTGCGTGGTAGTCCGGCATGGTAACCGTTCGGCCACAGAGGCAGTTATATTATATTACGACCAAAGTTTACTACAATTAAGATTAGTTTTCCATTTGTTAACAGTTAATTTGTTTTATTGTAATATTTAGATACTGTTACGAATTGTTTGTTAAAATAATGTTTAAGTTTAATAACATTTGAGACTGCCGATTACTATAGGTACTGCTGACTGATAATATGTGTTGATTGGGTAGGTACATATTTGAGAGCTTATTAAAGTGAAATAAATAAATTAAACTAGGGGAAAGGGTACGTGATGATCCTTGGAGGTAAGATGATCCTTTTCAATTGTAGCGAAACTAGTAACGTCATCTAGATATTTTCTTCGGTAAAATGTAGGCCTCAATGTGCCCTGTCATCAGTCAATTCGTAATGGCAATGTGAGTGACGAGTTAAATTTTGTGGAAAAGAACAAAAATTGTGTGAGTTTATCTAAAGTTAATTAAAAGCTTCCATAACTTCCATTCTAAGCAATCAATTGCTAAGATTTTTGTGTTGGTGGCTTTGCATAATGCTCTATTTTTTTTAATGGCATGGTAACAGTAGACAGCATAAAGGTTATTTTGCCGAACAAAAAAAAAGTAAATTGAGGCTAGATGATTACGGTTTTGGCTTACGAGATGGTCCGTGGGGATCATCTTGTTCTGTATATATTGTTAGGGAAATTAATGAAAGCTCAATGTTTCTAATAATTCGATTGAAGTTGCAATTCTTTACACGTAGAATTTAGGCGTGACGTACGAAAGTGAATATGTGCGTGTACATTTATATCACATTATAGAAAAAACCAGTTACATTTTCTGGAAAAGGGTGACTTATATCATTATGCAGGAAAATTATCTTCGGTTCTAGAGCACATAGAGTAGTGGTGATCAGATAGAAAGATGAGTCTTTTTACACAAATGACGAATATTTAAAAAAACGAATATTAATACAAGTCGAGTTAGCGCGTTTTTTACAGAGGGTACAGAAATATTCAAATATAATTGTAATGTATGATTAAAGTGGGTAGTTTCTATAAATGATATGAGCTGTCAAAATGTGATGATTAGGTCGTAACTGATTGCGACTGACATTAAAACCATGTGCTGTGCTGAATTCTGGCTTTTAATTCCTTAAATACTATATTGGCGACGAGGAAACTAAGTGAAATATAAGTAAGAAATGGCAGCGGCGAATATCTCAAGTATAGTTTTGCCCGGAAAGTTCGATCCCAAGGAAGATAAGTAGGACAATTATAAGGAGCAACTGTACTTTGCATTTGAAGCGTCGGGACCATTAGAAAGTGTGCAGAAAAGGGCTTTGTTCCTGTCTCAGTTTGGAAAGGAAGCATTCTCGTTAATTGTGTCGTTGTTATCACCATCGAAACCCAGTGAAGTGCCTGCCGTTCGAGGACATTGTAGAAACTTTGGACAGATTATTTATTACCGCTCCTCACCCAGTGTTAGACCAGATCTTGCGCACTAGACCATCAGGTGGTCTAGTGCGCAAGATCTGGTCTAACACAAACATATAGGCAACATGCAAGTTACATAGATAGTGACAGTGAATCAGTGATTGTTCCACCATCCGAAGAGTGGGCTGAAATTATTGGTGTTTAAAAAAAATATATTAAAATTGTTGTCTTTTGGCCCTTAGTGATTAATTGAAAATATTGTTGTCCAATGAAATCTGGGATAAAGGTGTAATGTATGATTAAAGTGGGTAGTCTCTATAAATGATATGAGCTGTCAAGTGTGATGTTAGTAAGACAACATGTAAAGAGATAAGTTTTCTATCATTCAACGAATTTATACATGCTTAAAGATGAATATGATTTAAACTACCACCACTCTCCCTTAAGGAGATCATCTGGTACCTCTTTCCCCTACTACACAATTTTGTTATTTTTTGGTATTTTTTAAGTGTCCGATTCTCGGGGACCTCCCCCTACCTACAAACAGCAAAGAAACAAAATATGGATTATCCCAACTATCTGAAGAGTGACATCTGTAACTATAAAAGCCCATTAAGAAAAGTCTGTTGATTGTGTCAAGCGCTAAGGAAAAAATATAAGAGTTACAAAAGTACTCGGCTTCAAATCCACGCTGTACATCTTTTAGCAGAAATTCATTAAGCCGAAAGAAAGTTGTTTATAAAACTAAAGACAATTTTGAACAATCTCGCTACAAACTGAGGCATAGACAAACTAAAGAACATACGTCAGTCAACGGAAGGAGCATAATATCCACTAGAACCCGGCGCAACAACGAAGATTATAATAATAGTAAGAACAAATTATCATGTCGTGATTCCTTGACCGTTTTGAGGCCCAACGGGAAGAACTCAATCGAGTGTGATTTCTATTGACGCTCAACCCTTTTATGACGCTTTGACTGGCTCTTCCGAAGTGGATGTGATGTAGGCGGATTTCATACAATTTTTTTTAAATATGGAACAAAGGATTAATACCTTATAACTGTGCCAGTCACACTGGCGATTTGAAAGCGATGCGGCGAGCACGCCGCGCTGTCGCATCGCTTTCAAATCGCTCGCGAATAGCCAGTGTGAAAAATTTAAATTTATTTTGTCTATTATGTAAAGATTTACAGAAAGCTTTTTGGTTAAATACTTAGGGTTTTCATAATGTTTAAGCTTATTTTAATCCTAGCCATTAGGATTTCTTAAAAATGTATTAAGCTTTCAATACGTGTTTTGTAAGACTATTTTTTCATTGTATATATATATATACATATATATTATACATCATATAATGTATTATATTTATTACAATGTTTTTATAATAAATATATTTTCATAAAATTTCTTATAACTAGCTTATAAATAGTTATATTTAAAAACAAAAAAATGCAAAAATCTATTTTTTGTGAAGTATATCAGGCCACGTAACTATCAGCCGCCCATCATTAACACCGTTTAAAGACCATAAATATATATAATCTTTTATTATTTTTCTAACTGTCGGGTGACCATCTTGCAAATAAGAATGCTGCATTCAGTAAGTAGGTTCTATATACGGTATTCTTATAAATGCACTTATGGCATGAGGTTTCACTATGTAAGGCAGGCGAATTTTAAAAGCCAAAAGCACATGATCGGACTTTTGTGGACTCGCTCGGGTAGCTAAATCACGTATTTCAACATTCGAAATTATGTGATCGACACTAACTAATTTACGCTCGACGTAAGTTACAATTTGGTGTGTAAGTGTTGGATATATCAAGTTAGGTAGTATTGTGTCAAGTTGAGAACGTAGCTTATTTAACATGCTGTAGTCAATATTAAAATCACCAGCAAGAACGAAATGTCCTCCATGACTTGACAGATAATTCTTCATGTATCTCAAGAACCAATTAATTGTATAGATATTATTTCCATTATCGTACTTGCCGTTCCAATCACCATGGATGTTAGCGATAGTGAAATTTGTTGTACTTCCGTAGAATGCTCCATGGACAACAAGAATACATTTGCGTTCGCTTCCAGCTATGGGGATTATTGTGTAACTATTTGGGATGAAACCGCCGTTCAGATTAATGCCGAGGGCCATAGAATGGATTACACTAACGTTTTTGCTTTTGTGAGGAGCGTTGCCATAGGTGAGCCATTTGTTCGGAAAATGTATGCTTATCGGAATCCATCTGGGCACGCCGATCTTTGCAACAGAACTTGGCAGTCCTACTTCCTGACACAGTTTAAACATGAATATCTGGACGCCTTCACATAGGTCCACTTCTGAATCGGTGACATAGCTTCTCATGTTATGGGAACATATCCAAATATCGTAATAATCTCCTCGTCCTCGTCTTTCTTCTTGAACAGCTTCTTCTTCTATCTTTCTCCAAACAACAAAATACAAAACGACAACAATCAGAAAAACAAAGGCAGTCACTTTTTTCTTTCCCGTAATCATTTTGTAACTGCATCACAAGTGTTATTATAAATAATAATTTTAAAGTTCAATTTTTGTTTCGTGAGACCATACGTCACGAAGCGTAAAGTTCGAGCCATTGCCAATTTTGTACTGTTTCAGAGGCAATTGATTATCGTCCTCTGAAATTTTTATGGCCCATAAAACTGTGTAGGTAAGTAATGAATGGGCACTGGTTTATTTAGAAGCAAACAGTTTGCTGCAAATTTTACTCGGCAAATCAGAATTTTACGACATACGAGTAGTTATACACGAAATACATTAAAATAAAAAACATATTTACATTTAAGTCCTAGTTTACATTTGAATCGGAAACTTGAGCAATACGCGCAAATATAAAAATATTACTTTGAAAGCAAGATATGTAAAGAGCCGACATTACAACTGAAGTTCCGATAGGTGCTACATTAAAATATACGTTAGGTTATACTTTTAACATAACTTTTTACGAAAGGTAATGTGACTGTAAGGAATATACACAGAATCATCATTGCCTGCATTCAAAAATATGTAAAAGGTTGTTTTATTCTAAAGACAAATGGCGCCAATAGCATGTTGGGAGTAATGGAGATTTTTGTCTTCTATACAGAATTTTATTCCTAATATCGTACCGTGTAGGTGAATTACGTTACGATGTTACTGTATACGTTCTTTATCGAGTGAAAAAGTAATCATATTGTATTTTGAAAACTATTGCCTCTTGCTGCATAATATTTTTAGTTACTAAGTGCACGTGTGGGTTTAGGTATGTTGTAGTATACAAGCAATCACGAGTCGAGTGTTAATTATCCCGCTGTTGTTTAGGGTATTAACATAAAGATGGAAGGTTCTTTTCGAAATGAATAACGCAAGTCTATGTCAATTCTATAACTATATTCCAATATAATTTCTAAACTACCCCTTTAAGCAACACAAAAAAACCAAAATCGGGAGAATATTTTGAACTGTAAAGTACCTGAGGTAATTTTTATGGCCACATTCGTATATTACAAAAAGTACAATGGGTAAAACAGGTTTCATAAAGTTTTTAGATCCACCATACTACCTCCCGTGAAGTGTTGTTCTACGTACGCCATTTTCACAACTATATACACACATCAAAAGTGTCTAGGGATCAAGTACGTTTAAGAGTATTGCTGCAATTAGGGTTAATTATATTAACTTTTTTGTATCGCTATTGATACTTTTTAGTGAGTTTTAACATTTAAATAAGGAATATTGTTTAAAATTCGATAATAAGAAGAAAATCGATTGTCAATGTGGTTTTGTATAAAAATGAGTTATAGCGTTTTGACAAAATCATTACAATATCTGCATCGGAACCGAAACAATTTACATTATTATGGAGAGACGACATCATTTAACCCGAGAAGTGATGATGCGAGCCGTCGGAATGTTGGAAGCTGGTTCCAGGCAACGTGCTGTGGCTTTCACTCTTAACACTACACAGAGCGTTATAAGTCGCCTCTGGACGCGCTATCGCATGATGGGCAGCGTGGCCGAGCGACATGGAGGACGATCTCGCATCACGACTCGCAGACAGGACCGGTATATCCAAAATACTGCTCGACGGAATCGTACCATGACCGCCATGATGTTGGTTACGAGGCTCCACAGCTCCTCAGGCTTGCTAATAAGCAATCAAACAATCCGAAATCGTTTACGTGAAGTGGGTCTGCGATCCCGAAGGCCGCTCAGAGTTCCACCTATTGCACCCTGCAATCGCAGGACCCGTTTACGATGGGCGCGCGAACACAGAAACTGGGAGGAAGAAGACAGGCGCTATGTGTGCGTGTCGTATGTGTGTGTCGGATGAATCCCGCTTCGGTATAAGACCGGATACAAGACGTACTCGAGTTTGGAGAACATCTGGATGTCATGAACGTTTGAGATATTGTCAGGAAGTTCATCCATATGGTGGGGGAACAATAATGATATGGGCCGGTATTTGGATCGGCGGAAGAACCGATCTCATTTGGATCAGGGGTAACCTCAATGCTCAAGTTTACGCAGAGAGGATTGTTTCAGATATTATCATCCCTTTGCGAGGCCAGTTGGGTGATTCATTTCAAATAATGCATGACAACGCACGTCCACACACGGCTAGAGTCGTAACACGCATTCTTGCCGAAACTCGTATCAACGTTCTGCCGTGGCCTGCTCAATCGCCAGACCTCAATCCAATTGAGCACGCATGGGATATGCTTCAAAGAAGAGCTGTGCCGAGTATGCATACCGTACATACTCTACAACAATATTTTGACTTGTTACAAAACACATGGGCGGCCATTCCTCAAAATGATTTTGATGAACTCATCTTAAGCATGCCAAATCGCTGTAATTGTGTGATTCGTGTTAATAGTGGAAATACAGATTATTAATTTTCTTATCTTTACAATAAAAATGAGCAAAATCATCATTTTCGCCATTTTTTTGTCATTTAATTGACGCCGTTAATTTGAGTTTTTTCCCACAATTTGCAAAAACATCAATTTTAGTTTATTTTAATTAAATATAGGGGTAAGCGGTTAAATAAAACATAAGCATTAAAGTAAGAAGTCGTCCTGGAAGACTGGATTTGGTAAATATTGCTTAAATAATTTTTATTTCAAAAATATTCACTTGATCCCTAGACACTTGATGTGTCTATATCATGCGTCAATGTGTCAACGAATTACTACAATGAAACAAATTTGTTTCAATGTAGTAATTCGTCAAATATATAGAGACAATTTATCAAATTTTTCTTGTAATGTGACAAAAAAAAGTAAAATGTTAAATTTGCTGATCAAGTACTACTTAGTCGATGCCTGACTGTACTTTCAATTCGAAGATTTTGGGAATTTTGTTTAAATCACTTTTACTTAAGTTTTAATACTGTTTACGCTTTAGATGATAGGTGATTATATTAAAAAAATCCAGGAATCTGGCGTCAAAAAGACATGTCAGCATGTTAGTTAGTGGAAAAAAGTGAGCACCACTTCAAAATAATTCTTAGTATCCAGACGAACTTTAAGAATCAACAAAACACCTCTCTATGGCTGACCCCACCGATATTTCTGATATATCCTGTTTTACAATTCTATGCTACTCCAAAAATTGCCTATCCACACATGACAGCAGTGAAAGGTTGATTTAGGTTACAAGCCAAAAATGTAAGTAAATAAATAAGAGCATCGTTAACATAGCAAAAAAACAAATATCGTTAACACTTAACCTTACGAAACATGAGAACAAAATCTAATTGGTGATTCAGGGCGTGAGGCTGTAGGTACCTAACCAAATCAACAGGTACAAATGGAATAGTAATATAGACTTGAAAAACACTACACGCTTATCACCAAAAGATACAACTTAAGTTCGCTTATTGACTGATTTGAGCACTCAAATGCTTCCATAATTTTCGTATACAACTGCGGCTACACCATACAATAATTTTAAACAATTTCTGTTCAACTAAACCAATTGAGCAAGTACAGCAACAAGTGACTGAGATAGTTTCTGCTAAGTTAACATTGATGACAATGTTTACTTCCCTGACATTGAAAACTCCTAAGTAAATTCCAATACCAAGCATTGATGCAAAACTGTTAAGAGTTTAGTACAGCAGCTGAATAAGATAATGTTCATTAAGAAAAACTCCAATGAAGCAGTTGCCTTCTCAAAAGATCCTGTTCCTAAGAAAATTTTGGAAGAAAAAGCAAACGCCTTAACTTTTGAGGACAGGATTGCATATATAAAATTTTGCAATGTTTGTAAAACATACGACTGTGAAAACTTGAAATGTCGTAAGGAATATTTCGTCATAATGGAAAATGTTCCTTACTACAAAATTTCGCCTACGACATCTCAAAATCCGATAAATCGACGAAATTATTACCCTTATATCGACGGTAGAAATTTGAAATGTCCTAAGGGACATAAGGTCATTTTCCTTTACGATAAAATGTCCCTTACGACATAGCAAATTTCCACCATCGTATGCTCACGAAGAAAGCGTTTGGAGTCATTACAGCAAACACCGAGAACTACGTGTGTCCAAATTAGAATAAAAATCCTTCATAACTGTTAATATGGCCAAATAGTAGTCATATTATGTACAGATACCGAAATTTTAAATCAATCATAAAATCTTAAAAACAATGTTTGCGATAGTTTGTCTGGTTTCTCTTTCTTGCCAAATTTGATTTTTAAGTACCTTAATAAACACATCTGACGATGTATATCTATCTATGACGGTTAATATCCGTTTCTTAGTTCTTTGATGAGGCCGTATTACGCTCAGGTACATGAGGTACATCATTAATAAAATTAGGATCTATAAACACAGGTTCAGGTATTGTCGCTATGGAACAAGGTCTCACTTCATAAGGCAGGTGAATCTTGAAAGCTACCATCAAATGATCGGACAATCGGGAGTCTATGTAAGTACTTATTTTCCGAACATTAAGGTTTGTTATAATATGGTCAACGCAGACGTATTCATTGTCAACAAAACTAGTTATTTTGTTATCAATTGTTGGATATACCAAATTCGGTATTATTTTGTCCACTTGAGTTTTTATATTGCACAGATTACTATAGTCTATATTAAAATCGCCACCCAGCACGAAATCTCCTCCAAATTGTGATAAATGCATCTTCATATATCTCATAAACCAAATAACAGCTTCTATGTTGTTAGGATTATTGTATCCCACGGTAGAATTCCAATCGCCATGCATGTTGGCTATAGTAAAATTTGTGTTGCTTCCGTAAAACTGTCCGTGTACAACCATAATGCATTTCCATTCAATTCCTTTAACTGGAATGATAGTATAACGTAACGGGATGAAGCCGCAGTTCAAATTAATGCCCAGGGCCATTGAATGGGCAATGTTCGGCAGGCCAGAACTATGCTCTGCATTGCCAAAGGTCAACCACTTGTTGGGAAAGTCTACAGTTATAGGGATCCACTGAGGTTTACTTATCGTTGCATATTTTTTAGATAATCCCACTTCTTGGCAAAGTTTAAATGCGAAATTCTTGGAGTTGTGCCCCATGGCTGTTTCGGAAAATGTGATGGCACTTTTCATGTTATGGGTGCAGACCCAAATATCTTGAGAAGGCTGTCAAAAAACGATAGATTAAAACATTGGTAAATATTTTTTAAAATAAATTGTCTTAAATTACTTCGATATAAAGTGCCTACTTTTGTGGAAAACGACAGTATTACACTTCGTATCTTATATTTATATAATAACAACGCAAGTATTAAAAAAAATTGTTTAAAATGTATGGAATGTGCCCGAAACGTAATTATTTTAATAGTTAATAATAATAACGCACACACTCATAGCCACGCTGTACGAAAATTCTGTATCGCTGGTGCTACGGACCCAAAGTCATGAGAGAAGTAACGCTAGGCCATACAAATATTTTTGTCGACCCAGGAATCGAACCCGCGCCGCGACTTCTGAGTGGCAGACCAACTTGTTAACCGTTCCGTCACGGAGGCAGGAAGTACGTAAGGTACGAGGTGTATCACTGCATGATTTATTTATCGGCAAATAGAAACGTAAACAGTGTATTATTGTTAGATATACTATACGGAACAATACTAACCTATTTTTTATTAAATATGGTTTGAACATATCGTATGGGGTGAAGTGGTATAAGTGAGCGAGGACGCTTTAAATTAGCAACCCATCACTGTTATTTCCTGATAAATCACACTCAGGCTACAAATTCGCAACGGTGGTGGTGCGTTCAGCGTATGTACGTACAGTCAAGAGCACGTCAAGCATGACACTTTGTACTTTGGACCGTTGTTATCGTAAGTCATCGAGTTGAATTAAATGTTAAGTGTCAAGCTTGACGTTTTCTTGACCCTGTACGTATGATGTATCTAACACAAGACACATTTGCGCCCAATGTACGCGAAAACCTTGAATGCCCCGCTGAACGCACCACCGTTCCGAACTTGCAGCCTCACAGAAATTTCGGCGCTTACCAATTTCTTCCAATTATCCATCAATACTCTGTTACAGAGTTAATTTCTATGGCAGAATAGCGATCTCTGATTGGAAGACATGGAACGGGCCAAAATAACACAGCTTGACTAGTATTGATTTTTAATTTTTTTTATGGACGACATCCGAAAGCTAGAACTGTAGTACCCAGTATCAATTAGCATGTCGTTATAAATCGTAAATCAAAACATATTTATAACTACGCGACAATAAGTTTCACGTCGATTTAAAGTGGTCGTTTGCCACAAAATACTATCTTCTTCACGTATTCGGCTGTGGGCTATCAATAGTGGTCGGAATAGACAGTTCCAAATAAGTTGATAAATATGTACAATACTTATACAGTACAGTAATAGTATGCATTGTAAGGTGTTTAAAATGAGTAGAAAAATGTGTAAATGTATATAAAAGGAAAGTATACAGATTAATTGCTTTTTGAATTCCAGATTTCCGAAAATAGTTTTGCTGAATTGTAGGATAAAACTACTCACCTAGAAAGCTGAATTTGAATTTTAAACTAATCCTAGTGGCGCCACATAACAATGAAGTTAATCTTTTCCAAAGTTAATATTCTTGTTAAACTACATGCAATAGCTTGTTTTAACTGATAAGATAAAAAGGGCAATTGTTTTAAAACAAGTTTTAAATAGTTCTACATTGGTGAAAATATGCAGTCACGGCAAGTTGGGAAAAGTTAATGGTGCTACCTTTCAGAGTAGGAACTACAGAAATAGTTAAAAAGTTCTACAGTATAGAATTTAATACACGCGACAAAAAATGTTTAATTCTACGTGGTATAAAGAAAATTATAATATATATATTTTTATTTCTATGAGCTGGTATTGCTATTAAAGTTTCACCACGGCAATTGATGTACAATACTTCATTAGGGCCTAGCTTTTATTTTTTTCTTAAAACACGAAATTTTACAATATAATTAAATATCTTAAACCATAAATAATTTCTGGTAGGTGAGTAGTCTTACTATGCAGTAAGCAGTAGCTTTCCGGAATTCGAAGAAAATATGTTTTTAACATTTGGTGCTTTTAACCGCTCCATGTCATTCCTTGTATCAATATGAAAACATTTATCTTTTCATTTGGAATAGTTATTCCGACCACTGGCTATCACCTTCGATACAAAAAAAAAAGGGATCAACATAACGAAAAAGTATTAAAAGTGGAAATGGATTAACAAAAATTACAAGTAATAAACAACCATTTATAGTATAGTTGGATTGTAATTGATACCTATTATACAAAAATATACCAAAACTTACACAGTTCTTATGCTATCAAATAGTTAAGTTAGTTTCGTCCCGAATAGGATAGCGCCCGTGATCTCTTCTCATCAAGCCGATGGTGTCGTATCAAATCCTTGACGACCAAAACGGCCACGCAGATGTCAATATCCCGTACATATCAGTTGATAATGTACCAGAAACCCATACAAATTGAAGTCACTTTGGTAGCCAACGGTAGTTCGCTATAGAAAAAGTTGTTTACGATCACGCTAGTTCATGACCATTGAACAAATAACACTAACGAGATTCACACAACGAACGCAACAAGGTGCAGTTTTCAAATTCAAATTCAATGTATGTTTATATTTTAGACAAACCGATGGAATTAGTAGGAAAACCGAGCGATGTTGCGATTGTTGTGTGAGCTTGTATCACGCAAATCAGAACACCGTTTTTTTTAAACGCTGGAGCTAATTCAAATTCTGATTTTATAGTTCCGCTCACAAAAAAGAACTCGCAACGGCAATAGACTGATTTCATAATTTTCACAACGGCACGTAACGATTCTTTTAGCTGTTACTATTAAACTTACTTTTATATATTTTACTTACTAAGTAAAATATGTAAAATAATTAATAATTATATAATTATCACTAGCGACCTTCTTTTTCCTATAACAGCGGTTACAAGCTGCATGGTCGTGACCACGGCAAGCGGTAGCAAACAGCTTTACAGATATGTGACATGATATATAATAATAATATTGTGTGAAACTGAAGTCAAACCATTTTTGTTTTGACCAAACCATCATCATATCAAAACCATTCGTGCGTTTTAAATCTTGTTATCGTTGTATCGTCGTTATGTTGTTTGTAATGTATAGTATGTGTAATATGCAATGAATAATTTTAAGGCGATTTTAAGAAAATTCTATTAATTTTCCATTGTTGATAATACACATGTCGTGCTCGTCTGCGACGTGTTTTAATTAAAAAGAATAAACAATTTCGTGCGGTATCGTTACCGTGTAAATTATAAAAACTGCCATTAAGTGTTGTTCGAAATTAACACTAGCACTAAGATGTGAAGAATGCGGTAGTGCCAGGGCCTTATTAATAAAATCAAATTTTGTATGGATTATTATACACGACCACGTGTTCACCATGACATGTTATTCATCAGAGAAAATTTTAGTACAGATAATGGATAGAGACTCCCTTTTCCAACGAAAAATAAAAATATGGCCTATTCAATCAGTTTGATCGAGTAAAGGTGAGCATTTCGTATTGAACAGCTGTTTTTTTTCTTCGAGTAGCTTTTCAAAAGTTATTATTCACAAATAATAATAATAACGCACACACTCAACTTAGCCCCGCATTAGGGAAACCATGTGCCGCAGGTGCCATAGACACACACATAGACAACCACAAATTACACCCAAAGTCAACGAGAGAAATAAATGTAGGCCATACAAATATTTCTCCCGGCCCGGGAATCGAACCTGGGACCTCCGCGTGGCAGTCTGGTAACCGTTCGGCCACCGACGCAGTTAGTTAAATCAATATGAAACTTTTACATGAGTGCTTTCTGCCCTTCTGTGAATAAAATGTCATGACCCAATTAACACTATAAAGTCTTTTAACTCCACAGTTCTAACACTGCTCCAGTTTACCGGTATACCGGTATTTATCGCCAATATCATTGCTTCCCACGTTTTCCGGGTGGCTTTTGGAGTTGGAAGGCGGAGCTCTCGTTGGAAGGAGTTGTCCCGAAGCTACTGTTTAAGTTTGTGCTTAGGTTTGTCTGAGGCGGAGGCTGCCACGATACACCTGAAACGGTAATATTGTTACGTAGATTAAAAAAATATTAATGCAAATGGAGGATGAGAAAGAAGTATTATTAACAGCGAAACCGATACAACAATTAATAACTTTAAGTCGGACTATAATTTACCTGTAGTATCCGCGTTGGGAAAGGTGTTACCAATGTATGTGAACGGCGTAGGACCCGCTAGCTTGTGAATGTTACCTGCGTAATAGATATACCAGAATAATTATGCATGTATATAATATAATGAATAATAATACATTTATTCAAAGAACTTAAAAGTTACAAATAATCAACATATGAAAGTTGGCACTTAAAAAAAGCTTGTGCTTTAAGTACCAGCAACCTTCCATTGTCACACTAGATACCATCCGAGTTATTTCCTTTTCCGAGTTATAAGAACGTATGTAGGATAATATAGTATAAATGGGGCTGCACCTCCTAACGTTCACTATGGTCTGCGGTAAATTAGTAGTGACAGAGTGTTTTAAATGTCAATGACTCCTTGAGTTTCTTACTCATTCTTCCCGAGGGAATCTGCCTTACGAATGAGTAGTAGACTTTAATCAATATAAGTGTACACGTTGCTTACCTATGGAATAAATATTTTTGAGTTATTATTATTTGAATACTGTCAAAAGTTTGACAGATAATGAATAGACACATTAATGACAATACTCAGCCGCAAAAAAATAGAATACCTATCAATATTTTTTTAGCCCCACACTAGGGAAACCCTGTGTATCGCGGCTGTATCAATATTGTTTAAGAAAAAAGGAAAGTAAGGAAGACGTGACGTCAGTATTTTTGGAGTAAGCGAAAGTATATCTACACTTTTTGTTGACAATTTGTAGTGACTAAGCATGTCTAGTATAAGCAGCCTCATATAATCGCATTTATTATAAAATATAAGTCAGTTCATAACCGATACTTAGCCGTTTTATTCGTCCCCCGACTCGCCCCGTACATGGCGACCCTGCCTATGGCCCTCTCGCCGCGCGCGTTGTTGCATTTGATACCGTTCTCCATATAAAGACTAGAATATTTTGTGCCATCTTATCGGACTAGTTAACTTAAAAATCTATCGAGTGCCATTGAGTTTCGACATCGTGATAGACCACGTGTACCAATAAAAAATGGTGAAACAACAATCAAAATTTGAAGAAACCATCATAGTGCAGAATACCGCAGGAGGTAACAATCAGGCATCAATCGAACAATATCAATACCATATTACAATTACGAACGCTCTGCTGTCGTTTATAACGGTCGTGATAACACCCTAAGAATATCGATGTTCCGTAAGCCACCAGATGTAAATGGGCAGCGAAGTACACCGACGTGGTTTAAAATGACAAATACTAAAAATCCATATTCTCCTACTTAAGAAATTTAATTACTAGAAGAATGCGCCTTGCAATTGACACCGCGCGCGTCTCAATTTCGCTACAAATGCCGATTACGTTAGTAATGATAAGGATTTAAAAACGTATTGGTTTCAGCGTGCGATTTATAGTTCATTGGACATACTTTTAATATGAAAACAGCTGTTTTGTGTTTGTGGTACGCACATTTACAAAACATTTGATTTCTCGTTGCGATTTTAGATTTTAGAAAAGTTGTTTTGTTTCATCCTGAAGCTCCAGAACCTACACGAGTGACGAAACTGTCATAAGTTTCTTACAGGTGGTATTACGCCAAAAAAAGCCCGGTACCTATAACGTGTAGGAAGAATAAAGATGTGTAGCTCAGTTGGTAAGAGAAGTAAGTAGCCACGGTGAGGCAACAGACATTGGTTCGAATCTAAAGTCAAAGTCAAAGAATATTTATTCCATAGGTAAAATAAATTTACACTTGAAAACGTCACATTTAAGCTACTGCTCGTTCACTACGCTGACCTCCCTGAGAAGAACGAGCAAGAAACTCTAGGGATTGCTCTTTTCAAATAAACTTAAATGCTATGGAATACACTTTGAATCAAATTTGTGTGGATTCTGGAGCCATGTCGTCTTTCCATACATCTTTATCTAACACGTAGTCTTCAATTTTGTAATATGATTTTTCGATCAAAATATTTTTAATGTAGTTTTTAAACTTAGGAAATGATCAACTTAATATATGCTCCGGAATCTTATTGTAAAAACGTATACAGTTCCCCATAAAAGAGTTGTTTACCTTGGTTAAACGAAATCGTGGTACCATGAGTTTGGACTTAGCTCTAAGGCAATATTATGGATATCTTCTTTTTTATTGAAATTATGTATATTTTTACGGGCATATAAAATATTTGAGTAAATGTACTGTGATGCCACAGTCATGATACCAGTCTCCTTAAACTTTTCTCTGAGAGATACCCGAGAGCCTAGACGGTACACACTCTACTCGGATCGAAGGAATTTTTCTTTGTGTTTGTTCGATCTTTGTATTACTAAGGCAATGATCACACTGCACCGCGCCACGCAACGGTGTGCGGAGCTGCGGTTTTTAACGTAAGTATCTGTTTGTATAAAAAATACGCGATGTACAACACACTGACAACGCGTCTCCACGCGGGTGTGCGGGGCGCTTGATCCGTCGTCCCGGGCATTCAGCTGGGTGGTGTGGGGCAGTGTGATAACCTCCTAATAATAAGAAACTAGAGTATTTTCACAAAAATATCATAGTAGTAAAAAAAAATCATGATATGCAATAAAATGAATATGGCTATCATGAAAGCTTTTAACATGGCATTCTTATCAATAAAACAAAGACCTATTTTTCGAAAATTTTCAATACCAAATATATCATTCAAACACACTTTACAGTTCATCAATTTAAAGAGAATTATATAATTTTAATTAGCAATGACGGTGTTGTAATAAATGTTATTGAATGAATGAATGAATGAATGATATGTTATTTTTATATCATCGGGAGTTGGCATGCAAATACAAGTAAAAAAGTGCAAAATTGTCGGAATAAAAATTGTTTGTTCTAGTGATAGCAACGCCGTGTGCACGCAAAAACTTTGCGTGCTTAATTCCAGCGTCACTATAAAAGTTTTGAACTTTTGACTATAGCACGATAAGGCGCGACTTGCGCGAGGGCGATACAACGCGCGAGATCTTATACGGGTCAGCAGTGTCTCGCGCTTTAGGTCGCTCTCGCGGTAGTCGCGCGCAGTCGTGCTAGCCCTACAGGTAAAAAGTCATCATCACGCGTTCAATAAGTTCTAGGCGCAAAAAGGCTCTTGACTGTACATGGGGCGAGGGTACATTTATTACTCGTCAACTTTTAGTAGCATGCAGTTGATACCAACCTAAAGCGGCTCGAGGATCTGACAGCACGGCAGCGCCCACTGGTCCAGTCAAATGAGTCGACTTCGTCTTTTTTCTGGATCCTTCAGCATCGCGTAGTATTTGATCTAAGCTCGAAATCGCTGGAAATAATTATAACAAATAAGTTAGGGAATTCTTTGTACAATCACCGTTTACATTTAACTTTTTCAGTGATCAAAATAACTGAACTCAAGAGTTATTGTTGAGTTTATCTGAATTTTTTTTTCAGACAAACTTCGTTACAATCAAAAGTGTACGTTAAAATCGTAGCTAAAAAGTTGAAGAAGATATTTTAGAACTTTACTTTACAGCAGGGAAATTTTAGTTTTGTTTGTGACCGCAACGTGCGCTATTTGCCTTAAGAATATTTTACGCAGTCGCAAGGAAATTCAATAGAATTACCCCTACAATATGTTTATATTGACAATTTTATATGGTAAATTGTACAGCGCCCTTATTAGTACGGTATGGTGTGAAGGGCCGATGTCCACCACTTGACGTCTGGGCGCTTAAAACACTTATGACCATAAGAACTAAAATTGTATAGAAATATTTTGCGGACGATAGCGACACTGTTACAAATACTGAACACATTAATTATACTAGACTAGTTACCATAATAATAGTTACAATAAAACGAATACTTACGCGATGGAGTATCAAAAACATTGGTAGGATCCTTGAGCACATATTTGCGTAGATTGAGATATTGCTCCTTCTGGGCGTCAACTTGCGTATGTACGGCCTGGAGACGGCCCGCCAAAGCCACCAGAGACTCGTGCATGCGCCGTATGCCCATCGTTAACTCTGTAGAAAGTAACATTATTGAGATAACAAAACATTCGTTGCCAAGCATACTTATACGTATTTACCAATTTTGACGAAACCTAATAACAATGCACAATAGTATGAAATTCTCAATCCAACTATGCAAATAACATAGAGGGACTGTGTGGGACATGAAGTGTGTATGAATAAACGAGATGTCGGATTTCTGCCTATAATTATTGAATAAAGGCAGAAGGATGATGACTTAACGCAGAAGTCACTAAAAAAACAGAAGGGTCTGCTCTGAGTGGACACACAATCCGACTTAAAGGTCAACTTGTAGTTCAGAAAGGCTTGCAAGTAGGAATAAAACTAAAAGGGGGTTGGACAAAACGATGTGGGAAATAAACAGCCTTTGCTCTAGTTGGATGCTGATTAGTAATAACGTGTCAACCACCATGATCATAGTTTTGCAAAAATGTCAACTAAAAATTTTTTCATTGTTTTTGATAATTTGTTCTAAAATTTACTTGTAAAATGAAAACTGCTATTGTTACCTCAGGTGTGATGAATTGTTGTGATTTATTACTATAATTCCCCAACAACAAGCATAACAGCAAGAGTGTTCATTTTACTAGTAAATTTTAGAACACGCTATCTACAATCTGTCTTTTTTGAAGACGGAGTAAAATTACATTTGTAGGGTTGCTAGTTTTCATAAAATTTTAAATAGTTATGTAGTTGTTATCGATAGTTTTATCGATAGATTGTTAAAGATGATAAAATTTCGCCAAAAATTACTGCATTATGAATGTTGCGACGTTCTAATGATTACTAATTGTGTTATTTCCTTCTTTATTTATTCTTATTTTGACAGTTGGCTTGCAAGTATCGAGATCAGTTTTTATTCATATACGTTTTAAGAAGAATTTGATTATCTATGCTCAGTTCAAAAGATATTTAATGAACTTTAAAATACGTCTCCTCTTTGTATTTTTCATAAACATTTCTAAATACAGCGTATGTACCTATGTATGAACTTACAAAAATTGACAATTCAAATGAGTCATGCCCAGTAATTGGATGAATAATGGGTCGATGATGATTAAAATGAAACAAGTTGGGCAATTTATTGCATAAGCGTGACCAACATTCAGTCGATAGTCGATAGAATTGTTTATCGACTGCAATCACTAGCTGCTCGCAAGCAGGCAGGCAACACTTTTGTGCAATGAACTGTTATTTTACGTCGTCTTCAAAAAAGACAGGCTATATATAGTCTGTCTTTTTTGCCATTTACGCAAAACTACGATCATGTTGGTTAAGACGCATACAGTTATGGCTTACCTTGTTCAGTGAGCAACTTGGGCGAGGCCTGCATCTGCTTATCAGCTACATCCATCTGCCTTCTAAACGCAATGAGTTGCTGCTCTAACTCCATCACCAACTCTTTCACGTATCTAGGCGGTGCTGTACCTTCCAGTTCAGACACTGAAATTTCAACGTTACGTTAATTTAAACGAAATAAACGACTTGTTAGTAAGTCTCAATAAAAATAGAAAGAAACTAAAAATAATCTGATATTTATAATTTGCTGTAACGCCTGCCTGCCGTACAAGAGCATTCATGCGGGCTTGAGTTTGTTTCACAGTAGGTAGTTAGTCCCGCTGAATGGTGTTTACAGATCATGTACTTTACTAATTCTCACTTGCTCTAGCAGCGAACAAAAACATCGTCATGAAACTCGCACGTCGATGGAAGTTGAGAAAGTACTCATCGAAGACGTATATAGTCCCCGCATTAAAATCCGTGCATTGTAGTGAGGTGTATATGAGTTGGTACAGTAAGTGCGGCTTAACTTAGAAATACTAGTAGGTATTGTATAACAAGAGTGGTACTTACTAGAATATGAATAGAAATGGACTTGTCCTTCCGTATTTCGTTTCGTTTTATCAGAAACGCGTCCACTAGAACTGTTTACTTGTTAACTTCGATTGCGAGCAAATGAACCGAGCTATCTCTCTATTAAACTATAATTTATTTAAAAATTTTAAACGTTGAATTTAAACTGTAATGTCATCGCAGTACTGTCTAATTTTGCTTGCTCCGGTGTCTGTCGAACAAACGAAGACTAAAGCGTGAATAACGCTCTGTATACGATTTTAACGCCCTATAAGTTCGGACACTTTTTAGCGCGAACCCGACGTCCATATAATTGTAAGTCAATGATTATTATACATATATTTATTCTTTTAACCCTTCATCTAATTTTATTTATTTACTAATTTTCAATATTATCTTACTGTTTGTATCATATGACATAAGTAACTTTAAGTACTAATTAATAACCATTTTCAAAAATTTACTTTAATAGAGGATGGATTTAAAGTGAGCAAATCTGTGCCCATATTCGTTGTTTCTTTTTTTGTGATTATTGTATACTCGTTGCTCTTTTTTTAACGGAAAGTAATTATTTTAATTCATATATGTTAACTTAAGAGTGAAAACCTTAGTTACGCATTTGTACTCAAGTTTATTTTGACTGATTTTTGTTGAAGCAATAAACGTCTTGCTTAAATATATTATTAATATAGCATCTGAAGGAGGTATAAGTTAAGTAATTAAAACACTAATTACAAGCAAGAAAGAAAGGCGCAAGTAGAAAATTCAAATTTCGGAGATAAATGTGCTTAAATATTTGTTAGGTTACTCTGATAAAAAGTAATAGTATAGTAATATAGTATTTATTAATGTTACAAATACATACCAAATGTTTTATACAGACTTTCATTGTATTTTATTCAGCCGTTTTTAAAAATACTTTAATCTTCTATTTAACTTGTACAAAACCTTTAGAAATATTATTACTGCTTAAAAAGAGCATAACTAATTTAAATGTGACTTTTGATACTTGACTCATGAATAGAACTAAAGTGCCTTTTTGTTGTTATTATTATATTATTGTAATTGAACTACGTAATAAAAGTAAAGTTCCATAGACTACTAGGCAAAATCCTTATATTAGTGTTTTTAACATAACACCTTCAAATCGACTCATCCGTAGAATAAAGATCTATGTGTAAGATTACTTGTTCTCGGGACATAGTACATTTCGTTCGTGCTTCTTCGCCGTGGATGTCAAATCGACCGTTGTTCGATTTTATATTTCCGAAACGAAATAAGATATATAAATTCTAAAATATCTTTACATAGGCCTTAGTTTGAATAATGAAATATGACTGAAGTCGAAATATGACTTTTTACAGTAAAAAATCTGATTATTGATGTCAATTGCCCTGTCCGCTATGAGCTTCCAGTATATTCAACAATTATTGCGATATATTCCTATATAAATAAAATGGGTAGATTGGTCTTTTTTTCGAGATCCCGAATATGAATGTAAATCACTTTTGATAAAAATGTTATTTGTGCCTTTTTTCCTTCCGAGGGCAGTATATTTATTATACACGACTTTTTTGTCTTCATCATTGTTGGAATATGTACATAAACTGCGTGCAGTAAAACGCTGTGACGTCTGCGCACGCCACGTGTTTTTTATATATACTGTCACTTTGAAGCTCTCTGTTGTATTTGTCAGAAGGTACGCGCCCCGATATATCGTATGCAGTAAACACTCTTAAGTAAATTTTATTCCAGACCAGAAATGGATGGCACTGAAGCGCGTATCGAGATATTTGAAATATACTAAAAGCTATGCCTTAACCTACAAATTGAATTCTGAAGAATAAACAATTCAAGGCTATTGTGATGCTGACTGGGCCAGCAACGACGATGATCGAAGGTCATGCAGAGTCTAAGTTTTTATATTTTAGGGCGGAGCAACATCGTTTAATTCACATCGGCAACAAACAGTTGCGCTCTCCACTACCAAAGCCGAATATATGCCTCTATCCACCGGCGCTCAAGAGGCGATGTGGTTTAAACAGATGCAAGAGTTTTGGCCTCACTTGGTTTCTATACCTATTACCATTTTATGTGATAACCAAAGTGCCATTAAACTTGCAGGTACCGAAAATTATTCCAGGTCCAAGCACAAAGACATACGACACCACTTCGTACGTAATAAAGTGTTATCAAAGCATATAGTCGTCAATTATATCCAATCGAGAGAAATGGTTGCGGACGCGCTGACTAAACGCACTCCTCAACTGATGCTGGATTACTGTTCATCCAAAATGGGTTTATGTCCAAGGGAGGATAAACTGCGTGCAATGAAACGCTATGACGTCTTCGCGCACCCAGTAGTGTTTTTTAATATATACTGTCACTTTGAAGCTCTCTGTTCGTTGTAACCGTTCCAAGTGGTACAAATAAAACTAGCTTATTTTACTTACAATTATACTTTTAATTACTACAATCCTGAACAATCGCATAGAACTCACTCTAAGAGGACGATATCGCTTACAAAGTACAGGGTTTATTATATCCAGACTATAAGTAGGTACAGTTGTGTCTATATAATAATCTTAACGGTCAAACAAACCAAAACTATCAATTCACACAAAGTGGTCAATTTTATTGTCTCGACGAGTTCAAGGTGTACCTACTATTATTGTGTTCAATTCCAATTTTTGACCAATAGAGCAGAAATTTCATTTATTTTATTGAAAAAAGAAACGGTTTTATAAAAAATTCGAAGTGCTCCAATATTTTTATACATACACCATTAGTAAAGTAAATTTTCATATGAACATATCAGAATTTTGAGAGGAGTACTCGGTATTCTCAAATTTTGGTTTTGCAGTTCAAGTCTAATCTTTGAGAGAAATTTAAAAAAAATTAACACGTTACAATTAAGAAGAACAGTAGTTTTTTATGAGAAATGATAATAAAGGGTATGAAACGAACAATTTTTTTTTCTCAAACGACAACCAACGACAAAGAGCGACAACCACTGCTGCTTTTAAGTTAGTTAATAGTATTACCGAAAATTTGAATAATAGCACACTAACAACAGGAATTTTCTTTGACAGGACCAAAGCGTTTGATTTTGTATCCCATACTATACTATTACACAAGTGTGATTTTTACGGCATACGAGGTACAGCTCTCGCATGGTTGAACAGTTACATCAAGGATAGACAGGAATGTGTAGAGGTGACAAGCATTTCGTCGCCTTACTGTCTCAAACTCGTATCTTTAAACACAAAGTTACTGAAATGCAAAAAATGGATTGTACGAGTATATACTAATGTTGCAGGCTGATTTCACATCAGATTTCCTTCATATTAACACAATAGCTTTTACCTGTTCTTAAAGTAATGCATCCAAATTAACACATAAGAAATTTAACATAAATTGAAAGTTTTGCCCTCTCCTGAATAATCACTCTTTATAAGATACGTGTTTAAGAAAGTAAGGCGTCGATTTGTCACGAATAACTTTTTTGGGCTAAGAGCAAACAAAAGTACAGTCAACAGCACATCAAGCTATACATTTTATACTAAGCAACGGAACAAGATCCGTCAATGTGTACCTTGATGTACTGTCTGCCGTCTGTACATGAAAATTATTCATGTTAACATTAATTAATTCTTTTTTAGTTTTCCTATTATACACTCACAGTCACTATTCTTTTATTTGCTCGCATTGTTTGAAAAAAGCACTATATACTTTATATATGTATACCTCGGTGGAAAGGGCGATAACATTCCTTTCTAGCACCCACCACGGTGCGAACAGCTGTTCCACCGAGTTCATTAATTTATTGTAAGGAATACATATTTGGATTTACGATTCAGGATTTGTCGAATTCTGTGACTCAATGGTTTTTTGCACTGTGAGCGCATCGATTCCCGGTAAGACCAATTTCAGAAATTAACTTTTCTAAAACGATTCTGATCTGAGAGTTCTAGGTCACTACCTCGGAGTGAATTCCATTGCTCTGGTTCTCTTGTCCAGGGAATTCACTAATTTAAGGCCGGGTAATTGGTGTGATTATCTAGCACGTTATTAATTTGCACGCGAAACACTCGTTCGTTTATACGCACTTTTTGAATGAGCAGTGTTATGTAGAGCGATGCAAAAAAGAAACAAATGCCGATAAATAAACCAGACAAAAAACGACTTCGATATCAACAAAGTACAACTTAAAGACTTTTAACACTATTTATAATAATTAAAGTATTAATACCGTCCTTTTAATCACTAACTGTCGTCTCCGACATTTTTGTACTGCCTGAGAAAAATGCACTTTATGTGGATTTCAAAAGCAATCATTCTCCCTTAATATAACTTAGTGTTACAAATAATAACGCTAGTCACGATAGTTAGTCATCAGAGGTACGATATATCAATAGACTGTACTCACCATATTGTTAATTATAATAAAGGGTAGAAAAAAATCAAAATTGTATTTAAAACCGGACGTCTGTCTTGTACGACGGTGCAATTGTTACTGATACAGTTGGACGTTTTGTTCTGAAAGCGTGTAAAGAAACATTTTCTTTCAACGTAACGTTAAACCGTTTTCATGTAGGTTCCGGAGACGGTTGCCGAAGAAACGACGCTATAATGAAAACGACAGGAACTCGCGCCGCAAGCACGTTACGTTACGTTTTAACAAAAACTGTGTTGTTGAAAACAGTTTCACTCCTTACAATCATGCGTTACAGATTAAAAAGTTTTGATGTATTCTCAACCATTACGATGTATATTTAAAATATCAGCGATGGCTATGTACTCTTTAAACCTCTGTAGCTGAGTCTTAACCGATTCCAAATGGTTGTATTATATAAAACATTTTATAAGTGTTAATATTTTGCTGACCTCTGTGGTCAAAAGGCTTCACCTTCACACACCGGTTTCATGGTGTCGCCATCGCTGAGGTCCCGGGTTCGATCCAGGTAAATGTAAATGTAGTAACTAACTTTTCTATATTATCTTGTCTGAGTGCTTGTAGTACCGTCATTGTTTCGGAACTCCATACCACAAGTGCTTTTGTTACTTCGTTTGGGATCAGAGCTACGCATGTGATGTTGTCTAATATTTATTTAATCATTTGTATTTACTTTCTTTAATTGTATTGCTTGTCAAATAAAGGAGTTAATTGTAATTAACTAGATATAACTTCCAAAGAGCAGTGTACCGTCCGATGTCAACATCGAATTTACATCCTGACGAGAAATCAAAAACGGAAGCTTCTGACGTTATCGTTATCCTTCTCTTTGTCAATGCATCAATGTTCAGAAACATTCCCATTAAGCTTTATGCATAATCCTACATTAATAGTTTATACTATCAACTTTCTTACCAAAATATAAATAAAAATGGTATGAAAAAAATTAATTGTTAAATTTTCTTATAAATTATCGTCGTCTTCGACGTCGTTTCTGTTTTTGGCTACAGTTGCTCTATGTAAGGGACCAAAAATACACCATTGAATAAACACGTTTATCGCTTGGAGACTTGTGCCTAATAGTGTCACGTTCTTCGATTGAATCAAGCAGCCTGTATACGCGGGGTTTGGCACTGAGAGTCGAATAGGGTTCGCCGCGTGTTATAAGACCTTGAGTAATTTTTGTTGTTTAAGTTGTGTTATTCTTATTATCCTATTCCTGCCTCCGTTTTACTCCGAACCAAATAATAATAAAAAACAAAGCCAAACAACCACTTGGTTTCTTAACCCTTTCATTGAGAGTATTTAAATAGTATCACACACAAAAATGTCACTATTTTTCTTGCCGTAATGCTTATATTGATTCAACATAAAATGTTAAAATGTCAGTACGTTGTTCATACTGCTCTATAGAAAAGCAGTAGGCTGAAAATTCCACAGAAAGCACTTGTAAATAGCACTGTTTCGTAGTCGGTTTTTTCGTTACATATAGAGAAACGGGGTACCCCGTACTATTATATTTTAATATTTAATTTTACGGTAAACGTCGTTACTGTCTATGAACAGGCTAAGAAAGAAATTCCTTGTTCAGTTTAAAAAATTGGGAATCGAACCCGAGAGCATCGTCATTTAGCACCCACAGAGTTAATCGCTGCGCCACCGAGTTCATTAAAAAAGATTTGTGTTCTATTTTATACGCGTTGAAATTTTAACAGCATGCCTTTCTTAGCACCTTTTGTAACACTGGGTCATTTCCGTTTCAGTGAAGACAAAAAATGTTAAAAAAAATTTGTTATTCCAATAAGTTTTTATTATTATTTACGCTATGAAGCGATGTGTGTAAGTCTACCGTTTCTGTACAACCTGTACCCATAACAAATAAGTTATGAACCATGAGAACCGAACTCAAAGCATCTGTATACGAGGCAAACATTCTAATTTATAAACTTAGAATAGGTTAGTTATGATGGTCTAATTCACAAATCATACTGCCTGTACAACAATATTTTGTTGTATTTTTTTTAGTGCTATAAATCATCACAATATCATGTCATTTGCTATTTCTAAACAAATTCTTATAAGCATGGATCATTAACAACAGGGTTGCTAATCCAGATACAAGACAACGTAGTCGGGTATATACTTGTACCACTGTACTTTAAATGTCGCGACGAGTAACCAAATAGCTGTTTTTGTAACTAATTTGTTTTACATTGACAAGCTGTGTGAAACAAATCGTAATTTTATATGAAACCGAATGCAGCGCAAACTACGCAACTTAAACTACGCGACTCACAAAATTACGCTCGTATGGCCTCACACTATAAGGAAAAAAACTGACTACTTATATTTCATACAATAGATGAATTAATTGATATCAACGGCCATTTACATAATATAAAATACTTCCAGGCTATTGTTCAGCACCATCTAGATGTAAGACGGAATTTTGGCATTTTTCATAGTTATGATCTGTAAGTACGGAGATTATTTGAATTATTGATCCATATTATAATTATTATCGCTCCTGACACATAATTTTACGTAACCGAGGCACGACGTCAATTAAATATGTAACATATATACGATAACCTAATTCCTTTGACAAGAATCTACTAGTATAAACACAAGGGCACAAATATTGTTTTCCTGTATATTACGTGTTAATTAATTAGTGGTTAGAAGATTATTTCTTATAGTATTTGGACCCTGAAATGGTGTCAATGTTATTGATGATTGTCATGTACGTTCGTATTATTAGTTGAAAATTACTAGTATACTGGTACCAACTCATATACTTCCCACAGTAGAGCACAAGTTTCATGTATGGAGATATTTTAGACAGAAATTTAGGCAAGACAATGAAATTGTTTGTGATATTTGCTCAACATGGTGAATATCCTTATAGTCTTCAAAATTATGCTGGGTTACACTTAAAAATTATACCTACACAAATAGTTATAAGTACCTTTCTTGAAAATTCACGCCTTCACGCCAATTCATACTTTTCAGTGTGTGATTAAGTTATATGCAAAGTCACATTTGTCAGTCTCGCAAGCACGCACGCACGCACGCACTCAAGCTCGCATACACGCACGCACGCACGCATGCAAGCACGGAAGACCGCCCGCACCCGCACGCACACACGCACGATAGATGATAGTTTCATTACCAATGGAGTTCCTCAGTATAAATGATTGAACGTAAGAGCTCCACACACTCCGGTCATCGCGCGGATTAATAATAACTTACTTAAAAATAACTTTTCGTTCCCATACAGCGCCTTAGCTCCACTCCGCCTCGAGTCAAAAGAGAGTATTGGAAGACGGACTTAAAGTTCTGTAAAGTGTATTTTAAAAACTGCCCTGGCGTACATTTGTCGTCAACAATTTTCACTGATAATTTCAAATAGTACTGTAGTCTACAGAACTTTAAATCAATATTTCTGTTTTGAGACGAGGCTCTGTCAGGGCTGTGGCCTTAAACGGGGTAAAATATTTGGCAAGGAAACAAAGTAGCGCTCGGTGTGTGGAGCTCGTAAGTCCAGATCGATAGGTCGTACCAGGTGAGTTGGCCTGGGCCTCCGCCTGCGCCAGCGCAGCAGCGGCAGCAGCGCGCAAGCGGCGCGATAGCGCACGCCCGCGGCCCACTTCGCCCGACAATGACAACGCCAGGCGCAGCGTCGCCTCCGCCTCCACCGATACCTGCGCACGCGCAGTACTAGTACACCTTGTTCATATTACACACATATTAATAATAACACTAACAATATGCCAGACATTTACCAATGCTATGCGTCGACTTTTGTTAAAAGTTGTCATGATAGGTACATTTTTAGCAGTATAAGGTGTCAAAATTATCTTAAAATAATTTCTGTTAATATTGAAAATTTAGCAACGTGGGCTTTTTTGACATTGTGTTCATTGGCTGGGCAATTTGGATTATCGTTACAGAAATTAGAACAGTAACATTTGCAATCGTAGTACATAAAAATGTTGCATAGGGCGTAATTTTAACAAAAAAAGCACTCCGATTTTTTTTAATATGTTATTTCTGGGTTGTTACAAAATGGGCAACACACTGGTCTGACTTATCGTTGAGTTTAGGACATCCTGTGTACAATTTACTTTGATAAAATATACCGAAAACCGCATAATGGTAGATAGTTTTTATCAATCCACTTACACACGTTTTACATCAATATTGTGTATAAAACTTATATTGTGCATTTGCATAATAAAAATTACTTTACTTTAGTTCTTCATTTGTAATTGTTATTACTGAAAGTGTACCTATCATCTAACTTTTCTATCTTTTTTGTTTCGTCTATCTTATATTTCCGCAATTAATGAATTTTGGTGCAACAGACGCGGCTCATGTCTCGTGTTAATTGAAAGTGATATAACTTTTATGTGTTTGTCGCAAGTTGTATACTTTTGTATTATTTATATTATTTGTATATTAACAAATATTCTGAGTCAAAAGATGGTCGCAGGTATTCGAAAAATCAACGCTTTACCAAATCTGGTAGAAACAACGATTGTTAAACCAAAATAGTGCATGGATAGATGGTATATTAACCGTATATCCTAATTGACTTGCGAATCTGAACCTTCTTTCTACATCGACAGAGAAATAAGGACGGAGAAAGGACGATTTTCTAATGCATACGAAGACAGTTCAGAGGAAACAAAACAGGTCAAAAAAGCTTTCAGAATTTTTATAGAGTAGGATGTGAACAAAGTACAGAAATTGCTTAATACTAAAGAATTGTTTGTTGTTTCCATCTAGTAAATAACTTCAAGAAACTAAACGAACTAAACTAAGCAATTAGTAACATCATATCAAAAATAAAACTGGAAGATCTCTTACTATGGCTCTCGTATAACACTACAGCGAGAATTTTGAAAATCAATGGCGTTCACAAAGTTGGCACAATCCACTTAACATTATATTCTAAATTAGGTTGTCGTTGATCAAGCGGACAAAGCGCTGTCTGAAGAGAGCGAATTAAACTTGTTGGCATTAATACAAATGAAACTGTGTGGGAAAATCCAATTTATCCGTAAGATTTTGTCGCCCAATTTCAATAGAATTTTCGAAAGGGACACTGGAGATTTTTTTTTAATTAATTTACCAAATTAAAGTTCAAATTGCCACTCTTCACACTGATATTGTGGATACCTGTTTTCCACTATGTTACTGCAAAGGAATAAACGAGCTTTTAGCAGGGTATCCCGAGTTTGTTGATAGCTTGACTGGATATTAAAAAAAATTATACAAACAATTTTTTTTTGTTTGAAATCTCCTATATAAAAAGTCTATTTCATACTTTAACCACCATTATAACACCGTGATATCCATTTTTATTCAATTAGAATTTCAAATAGAATTCACTTTCACATACAGTTTTGATTACACTATCGCCAGTCTTCTAAATTATCACTCGGAAACGTGTTCAACGTGGATATGTCTCTGCTCGCGGGTCTTGTTAACATAGCTGTTGTTATCAAGTCTTTTATTCATTTTAATTATGTCTTAATAAAAAAAAATCACCGAATATTATTATTAAACTAACCTTATGTAGCGGTTTGACCGAAACCCTCATCACTTCGGAGCTAAGTGATTTTTGTCTCTTCACGAAGTCCTTGAACGTCTCTATCGTGGTTGATATCTCATTGGGCAGCTTTATTTGCTTTGGTGACTCGGCTGGAATTAAAAATTAGGAATTAATTTTAAAAAAAGAGAGAGAGAGAGAGAGAGAGGAGGTATAGTTAGTAGAATAGTAGTAAACACAAAGGTGAGAAATAAATAGAGAGAAACAAATTTAAACTATTTACGCGGACTTGTAAAACAAATGATTCACTAAGAGAGTCTCATCTAAGAGGGAATAGGGAATGTTCATTAAATAGTCTTCTAAGAATTATATGAACCCTGTTCGATATTCAGGTTTTATCACGAAGTTTAACATATGAACTATCAACTAACTATCGAGTTCTTAGGTTTCCGCGATTGTTACACATACGAAATGAAACTATTTTTCCGGATTTAAATGGCGTATATTTGTTTTTTCAAACAAACCGACGTTTCGGGCCCACAACAAGTCTGCAGTCTGCGAGCACGTCATGGATAAACCTACACATTCAATGAAGTTTGACAAAACCCAGGTCCTTGCAAAAGAAGACCGTTATCTACCCAGGATGCTACGAGTAGCCATTGAAATTAAAAAACATCCTAATTTCAACAGGGAAGATGGTTTCTCCGTACCACCAGTTTGGGATCCAGTATTTCCTCTAATCAAAAATCCCAAACAGACATAAGACTGCAGTACTAATTAATATGTTTTAGTTTTCTAATTTCTTTTATTAATTAATAATAAATTGGCTTAACAAAAATTCATTCAATAAAATAATTTGTAAAACTTAATGTAGCGTAAATTGGAATGTTTTCTTTGTAAAATTAAAAATAAAGTATTTAATTAATAACTATTGTAACTATAGTGAAAAAATAGGGTGGTTTGCATTAATATTAGACATAACTGGTTGAAGACTGTACCACCTCAGTCAACCGTGACCATGGGACCTGTAAAGGGCCCGAAACGTCGGTTCGTTTGAAAAAACAAATATACCTACGCGATTTAAATCTGGAAAAATAGTTTCATTTCCTGTCAACTAATTAGTTTTATTTTGTTCTTTAATTGAAGAGCCGATATTCTTTGCTTATCATAATAATAAATATTGTACATACTCTTTCCATCTGTGGTAGTGGTACTCGCCGCACCTGTGGGCGCTAAGCCGCCCAGACCGAGGCTTGGAGTCGCTACAAACAAATGAAACACCGTCACACATACTGTAGACATTTCCAACGTCTCCCTATCCTATCTAGCATCAGGCAAATTTTTCAGGGCAACCTATTTTCGGTTTGGTAGTGGACAACGTTAACTTCAGTGAGCCGAGCAATATTATAGTCTTAGACTACTAATAGATTGACTGCATGTTTGCAGTTAATGCGTGTATCATATTCACCGTTTGACCTACAGTCACTGTGCAGAAAGGACGCCACCGTTACTGCGATGCTACATATTGTTCTTCGACGACGTAAAAAAAAAGAACAATTTGGATCCAACCATTTATATCTTACAAGGAAAATTTCATTACAAAAACTTGAGAATCGCCAAACGTTAATTTGCAGCACAGTGATACAAATGTGAGGGAATGAATTTCTCCTCCAGAAATGTTAATGGTGACATTAAAAGGTAGCAAACAATATGTATAAGCGAAATGAAGTTTAATTATAAGAAGTTGTATAGAAAGGGTAGTTGATGTATGTGAGGCTCGAGAGTTGTGTCAGGATAGAGTAAAACGGCGTTCCGTAGTCTCTGCTTACCCCTTCTGTGGGACTAGAGCATGAGCTTATGTATGTATGTAAGTTTTATTATATCTATATTCATTAATTGTGGTACGTACGAAAACGGACACACGTATCCCTGATGCCGCGACGATGCGTTTGTGAAAATGTGTATACAAATGCAAGGGCGACTTTGTAGTCGCTAAATAAATAATTCTCGGAGTCGATAACCGGTCCCCGCAAGGCAATCCTTAGCAAGTAAACAAGCAATGTTTTTAGCACTAATTACAAAAATTTATACTACACTTAACAATTACATCCTAATTATCATATTTTATCGTTATATTCAGCTTCTTATTTTCTCTTTGTATATAATATACACTATAATATTAAGACTATTCTGCTCAATTTAATGCAAGCTGTGTTTCATCTTTAAATAGTTGTGCATTAAGCTAAACACCCTTACCAATGTAAAATGTTCATATGTCGATGTAACAATTGCTGATGAACCTCAATAAATAAATAAATAAACAATGGTTACCACTCTGGTGGTCTATTACCACAGCGCAAATAATATAAACTTATAATTTTGACGAAAATAAATTATTTACATCACGACATAGAAAATGAAATTTGGACTCGAACTATGTAAAAAAACTGTATTCCCACAAAATTTTAAGATGCATCCAATTCTGCTAAAGGGGACGATAAGTCCACTACTTTATTGATAAACTCATTCAAGGCAGACATGTTTTCGATGGTGGCGCCAATATTTTGACGTTCATGTTTCCAGTAGAATAATTAATTCTTAAAAATTCCGCAACATGTCGGGATTTCGGTCAAATTTATCAACCTTTAACCTGTAAATAAAATTACCTGAAGTCGATGGTTGACTGCCGGTGACCGTAGTTGTGAATTTCGGACCTGAGGAAAAATTAAAATATGTATGAATTAAATTGCAACATCCAGTACAATACATCTGCTGGTAGATAGGGTTCTCTGTCAATACAGAATTTGCTTCGATAGGTAACGACTTTCCATCCACACGTGCTACCATGACTATTCCTGCTTAAAAGTGAGAGAGCCAATGCCATCCGAGGCATAGAAGATATAAAGGGTTATTTTTAGGTTAGTTTTCTCTATGCAATGTCGGTGGCCATTTTAATAATACTTAAATTCGAGTATATTATTGCGAAATACCAAATATACATATATTTCAGGATACTACACTCGAATAACACCTAATAATACTTCATGATACTATTCTAGAACATTTAAATAACAAAAATTGGCACCGAAATTATGTAGAAATAACTATCCCGAAAACTACCCACAGCTTATAAATTAATAAATGACATTTGTTTAAACAACCAAGAAAAACAAAAAAAACGCTCACCACTAGAAGGCAACATAGTTTTATAACGGTCTCGTCTAGCGCTTTTCAGTTCATAGCCGCGTTTAAGGTCACACCCATCGTCCACTATAGGACTCATTTGCAGTTTAACGTTAGGACTTGGCGGTAACATTTGAAAGGTTTGAGTTATTGGTATGAAAGAACTGTTCAAGGAGGACTGGGGAAGCATTGTTCTGGAAAAGAATATTGTGTGATACTACAGAATATAAGAACAGTCTGACTCCAGACTCTTGCATAGTCAGGGATGACTTTATTATGTCTGTCATACAATGCCAGAGTCAGCGGTAAAAGGCAATGCCAGATTTTCTACCACCAGCAAAAATAGTTGCCCTAACCAAAATCATTATTTTTTTTAATTGTTACACAGCAGCATAATCATTTTCGTAATGTGCTAAATTGTGAATAAGGCACAGAGTTTTCCATTGGTTATAATCACGTGGCTCCAATGGGGCGGTATACGATTCGTCGGTTTTTGCGCCTCTGATACGGCTCAGTCTAAAAACTCATCGAAATATGATTAACTGTGTATACCTTTTGTTTTCTAGATGAAAATAAAAGTACAGTGAAGGCACGCTCAGCATAACATTTAGCAAAAGTAGAGCTTGCGAAAGAGTTCGTCCAGGGTAGTACTGCCACCTTATCTATTTCTGCCATCAAGCAGTAACGTCAGCATTACTGTGTTCCGGTTTTGAAGAGTAAGGGTGCTTGTGACATTACAGGCACATGGGATTTGTCAACTAAGTCTCAGGGTGATGGGCGCAGTGGCAGTACCCCTCAGATCTTTGCGATTTCAAGTTCTGAGTGGCACTGCAACTATTATAGACAGGCTTGTAGCTTACCATAAGGCGCACGACTTGTTCGTCCCGTCGCTTGATGTTACAAAAAAAATACTACTTAAATTTTTATTCTTTGCTACTTATGACACGAACGTCGAACCGTCCAAATAACTTCTAGAAAGTTCTAAAAGTCGTAAACCTTGATAGGTAAAATAAAGCCGTAACGTGCGTTTATCACATAAGAGTAGTGTTGTAAAAAACTCACGAGTCCGAGTCGAGTCGAGCGCGAGTCATCGGAGCATGAATTGGAATCTTCAAAGAACTCGAGTTCGAAAACTCGACTCAAAGCGACTTCCATATTACAAAGTCGCGAGGACGACAAGCAGGGTTCAATTTTATTGACAATCTAATGCCCACGAATTAAATAAAAAACAAAAACTCAATATGGTGATTTATAAAACAAAGAAGATATAATACTTAATTTTATTACAGTAATTATACTACAGTTTAACACGCCACAACACAACACCGCTCAGTAGGTACTGTAGTCTAGGCTCTACTCTATGAGTAGAACTACTGGCTGAATGAATATAGTTTTGTATTTAGAATGTGTTTCAAAAGGTAGGTTAGAAGAAAAGTAGAGTATCATCATATAGTTCAAGATGTAACCTCCATAAGAAAATATGTAAAAAGTACAATAAATACCAATTTTTGAAGATTATCCTAGTTTAATATTTATAAACGTACCTCTCGCTACGCAACACAAGCTACGTCCCAGTTTACAGTACTTACTCGTTACATAAACTGAGTCGAACTCGTGCATGACTCGTTACATAAATAGACTCAAGCACTAATGCCGAACTCGAGTCTATTTGGAAACTCGATAGGTTCGTAATACATCGAGCAGTGAGTCTCTGTCTTTATGAGTCGAGTCTTGTGAATTGGAGTCGACTCCGAAAATGTAGACTCCCCGGACTCGTGTTTTTTACAACACTACATAAGGGGCATAAAAATAATACAAACTACATGAAACAAATTATATACATATAAAATATTTCTCCTCTTTAAAGCATAAAAAAGTAGTCGAGTAATTTTGTTCATAAAATCTATAAAGCCTCTGAAAAATTATCCTTTTGCATATGTGGCCTTAGTACACCAAAGACGTAGTTCGGTAGTAGGTAGGAAGGTAGTGCTGGAAGTTCATACTTTTGCAAAATATACAAACCAAACCAAAGTTTCTAGGAGATACAGTTGTAGCGGAAATTGAAACCTAACAGTAGTTAGGTTTAGGTTAGGCTAGGCAAAGTTTATTGTATCTTGCATAGTAATGCAAGATATAATAACCTAATGGAATACCATATGTACGTAATCAGCAGACTCAGTAATCATCATCGTAGCAAGTGGACGTACGTTATCGCAGCCTACCTATTGGGAGACAGGTGTGTCGGTGCATATCGGTGCTATGTATACTTACCAAAAAGACCAGCACCAGCAGAAGTAGTAGTGCTAAAGAAACCTAGTCCGGTGCTCTGTGTGGTTGTTGTGTTGAAGCTGAAACCTCCAAGACCGCCTAAACCAGCACTGGTCGTCGTCGCTGCTACTGCGCCCAGGGTTAAACCTGGAAATTAGTTTTGACAGTTTGTATATAAGTAGCAAAATCAAAATTAAATTCATTGAAACCATTTAATTTTAATCTTGCAAGATATTGTCTATGGTAGCAATAGATTTCGCAACGAAATATTTTATGACTGAGTTTATTTGATTGTATTTGAGGTTATCAGTACAAAAGTGGTGTAACACAGGTTCTATTTTTTGCTACAATATTACTTTAAATTATACTAAATTGGATAATCATTTCATATTTGGATGGTTTTTCCTTTGCATAAAAAATTTTTATTAATGTATTGTAATTTTTTCTTATACGTCAAAATCATTTAGAGTAATATTGTAAAAAAAAATTGCATGAACGTTGTAACCTTTACACTACTATGGCGCTCATAGCCTCATTTAACTTTGCATATATAATAATAATGCCAAGGATCATACAAATAAGTGTGTAATGATTTCAATGTTAGTGGGTCTTTTACACATAGTTTGGGGGTAACTCTGCTGTTCCTACTAAACATATGTCAAACTTTTCAGAGTGCCACTTAAAGTACTGTTCTACCTACAGTCGTTTCAACAGCAACACTGGGTGGTGTATTTCAATGTCAGTCTCACGCAATTAAAATGGAGATTACAATGTTAATATCAGTCGTCTTATCAGTAGTGCTCACTCTGTTTTTTTCAGCTGTTTCCGGTGGCGCCATAATTAGGTATAAACCCAGGAAACACAATTAACCACCCTCATGAACAGACCTTCCTAGGGTGGCATTGTGGTTCTCTATTGAGTATGCATACCCCTAGCATTTAGGGAAACCCTGTGTCGCGGGTGCCATGGACACACTTAGACGACCACAAATTACACCCAAACTCACGAGAGAAATAAATGTAGGCTATATAAACATTTCTCTCGGCCCAGGAATTGAACGTAGGTTACGTGGCAGACTAGCAGGGTAACCGTTCGGCCACTGAGGCAGTTAATTTAAAGTTTATGATATATGCTGGTTATTTTAACAACCTGAAGCTGTGTTAGCTGGCTATAATGAATTTACCTGGAGGAGCAGTGGATGTGTTACTCCCAGGTCCAAAGTTTAACCCACTGGTACCAAGACCGGTGGTTCCAAACGCAGGAGCAGTGCTTGTCGTGCCGAACGATGCAGTGCTGGCCACACCTAGAAAAAAATTAAGTATAATGTACTACATTGCTAAAACCACAATCAAAATCTTAACAAACATAGGACCTACAAAGATCTATGTCATGAAAAAACAAATTTTCAAAGTTTGTTCTCACATGCATGGAATCAATACACATTGCATGTCACATAAAGGCAATGTTATAAAAGTATACCCAGCATGGCACAATATTTGGAAATTAACTGCTTGGTCTGAAATATACAACTGACTGCTGTTGTATATTTCAGCTGACTGATGTTTCCTAAAATATCAAAATAACTTTAAGCAAGTTTGCACTTTAGTTACGAGTGTGGTAATTCTCTCTCTGTACATTCCATTGGTGGTCTACCTAAGAAACAGATCCGCTTAACTGGTTACACTATACTTACAATGCTCTTAGTATAAAGTGGACAACACTACAAGTTGCAACAATTCCATTAAACACAAAAAACATACCAAAAGGTGGCGCTGCAGATGTTGCACCAAAAGCAGGAGTACTAGTGGCTCCAAATGCGGGGGCGGTCGATGTTGCCCCAAAGGCAGGGTTGGCCCCAAAAGCAGGGGTGGAACTGGCTCCGAATGCTGGAGTGGCTGATGCAGCTCCAAATGCTGGTGTTGTACCTGAAATAGAATTGAAGAGATCTGTTTCACAGTGCGAATGAAGAATTGACTATTACAGAACTTGCATGCTCTACATTTTCACCTGTCAGTCACGGAATTCCATAGAAAAACTTTCGATTTACCATTTTATATGTTAATCAATACATAGTAGAGATGCCACGAATATTCGGCTACTATTCGGAATTCGGCCTATTCGACCACTTTTTTAATATCAAATAATGGAAAAAAAACACATATTATTCAAAATGTATCATGTGTTTTAATCTCAAATTATTGCTTTAATATTTAAAATCAAGCAGTGGCAGGTAGTGATGAATGGCAAGAATCTTTCAGCATTCGTTGGTAACAAACAATTGCGAAGTTACTCATAAACAATTCCTGTTTCTGAAAATAGCCTCTCGCTATAAACACTCAGGAGACAATAAACAAATCTTAGCAAATTTTGACAGGCATGGATATTGCTTTGCGTTTGCTGACCACCACTTGTAAGGATCTGCCGTCCGATCTAGGCGAACAGTTTTCATATAAAAATCAATCCCAGGTGCAATAGAACTTTTCTCCACGTCCTTATCATTTTGCATATTCTCTGTAGCGACTTTTTCGAAACAGGTCCAGAAACTGTCATTTATTGATTCTATCGTTTTATAATTTTTTTAACAAAAAAACACCCCATCCCCGTTACCTCCCAGGCAGCTCAATGAGACAGATCGTAACAGGTCGCGCCTGAAATGCACAGTTCTTACGCCGAACATTCGGCGCTTCAGCCGAGAGCGTGGCTAAATATTCGGTATTCTGCCAACTATTCGTGGCATCTCAGGTTCATAGACTATTTTATAGCAAATAAAATTTTTTTGCAGTTACCCTCCCAAATATCCTAAGTAATTATACAGGGTTATTTTAAAATACTTGATCGGTCCTTAGAGGGAGCGATCCCAGTTAGTTCAATCGGTCAACTGAACTAGGTCGGTCTTCTAGTTCATTTAGTTCATCTAGTTCCTTGGTTAGTTAGTTCATCTTGTCCTTGCTCGGACATTGAACAAACGCTCCAAAGTAGTAATTTTATTGAACACTACGGACTTCTAGTATTATATGGTCAATACTACACTCTACCAAATATTTAAAAATCCAATTTGTAGGAGTCGGTACTATTTGATTTTCCTTCATATTTTACAGGTTTAAAGACTGTCATTCTAACTAAATATCCTTTGTTTTTACAAAATCATGGTGTCTTTAAAAATCAATATTTAGGTACAACTATTTCATATACTCATACATGTAGTTGATATTATACATAAATAACGCACACACTCAACATAGCCCCGCACTAGGCAAACCCTGTGTCGCGGGTGCCATGGACACACAAATAGACAACCACATATTACACCCAAACTCACGAGAGAAATAATTGTATGCCATACAACTATTTCTCTCGGCCCGGGAATCAAACCTGGGACCTCTGCGTGGCAGTCTGGCATGGTAACCGTTCGGCCACGGAGGCAGTTAAATACATACAGTTACCTACCACACCTACCAAAAAATATTACTTTTTTGCAAGCTTATACATATATATACATGATGTAGATACGTATTAAAGACTTACAACGAGCTGGTAACGTTCAATCGTGCATCCCACTCGAACTTGTACTAAAAGTAGTAAAAGATTGCTATTTGTCCCGCTCGCACTGTTCCTACTGAATAAAAGCAGGTGAACTATCAACGCAGAGAGTTCCTAGTTCGTACTGAACTAAAAAGGTTATTTTAACTTACAAGGACTTATATTACTCACATCACAAACAACCTCTTTAGTTCCATGTTAAATAACGCATCAGATTATACTTTCATACAAAAATAAATATATTCAAACAGATCACTCTAAATGGTAATAGCTCTGTGCAGAACAGGGGTGAGAGCCAGCATGGAGAACGCTTGCATGTTTGAACTTACTACCAAATACAGATCTAAAAAAATTTATTATGTTTAGTAAAAAGTCAAAGAACAAAGTCAAATAATCATTTATTCCATAGGTAAAATTTGTACACTTCAAAATGTCATTTTTGTAGCTACTGCTCGTTCACTATGCTGACCTCCCTGAGAAGAACAAGCTAGAAACTCGAGGGATTGTTCTTTTCAACTAAACTTAAATGATATGTACTTTGAATCATAATTGTGTGGAATAGACTAGACTCTTGTTGTCTTTCCATACTTATTTATCACATACTCTTCAATTTTATAATATAACTTTGCAATTAAAAACGAAGTTCTAAACTTAAGAAATGATAATCTTAATATAGTCTCTGGAATCTTTTTGTAAAAACGTATCCCCCGTAACATAATGTATCTTATTGTAAAAAAGTTCCCCGTGAAAGACTCGTTTACCATAGTTAAACAAAATTGTTGTACCGTGAGTTTGGACTTACTTCAAGGTTAATATTATAGATATCTTCTTTCTTAATGAAATTATGTATATTTTTACAGGCATACAAAATATTTGAATAAATGTACTGTGATGCCACAGTCATGATACCAGTCTCCTTAAACTTTTCTCTGAGAGAAATTTGAGAACCTAAATGGTACACAAAATGAATTGCTCGTTTTTGCAACACAAATAAGGTCTGTGTATCTGCCATTTTACACCACATGAGAATCCCGTAGGACATTATACTACAGAAGTAACTAACTTTAGTTACTTCCATAGTGTAATAACTACTTAATAAAAAAGTAACTACTTAGTTACTTATAATGTTAGTACATATATAATCCTGTGAGGTTGTTAGTTTTTTTTAAATAACTTTGTATATTTTTTTACACTTTGAATTTAATTTTAAAAAGAATAAATTTTAATTCTACAGCGCCTTAGAAACAAGGTAAATAATTTATATTTCCACATATAAAACTGTAGGGTTTATCAAAGTTGTATATTATGCGCTTCGAACTTTTGTGTATGTTCGTTTCAGTTTCAGAGTCACATTTATCCACAATGGTATTATCCCTCTTAGTGATTATCACGAGATACCGGTTCCATACCACCATATCAACTGCTGATAATGGAGCATGAAACTGCTAGATAGTTTAAAAAGAAGTAACAACAAACCTGTTAACTGGTCTGAAGGTCTTAAAATTCTTCCTCTTGTGCTTTTAGGCACAAAATTCTAGAACAAGAGGAAGAATTAGGAAGAAACACTTGGTAATATAATTCTTCTATCTTTGCGGACTGACCCATAAAATTACCTATGTTGATGGTCCTGTTATTTAAGAAAAGCTCAATGATTACACAACAATGTAAGCATTGCAGATCTAGAGAATATTTTTAATTTAAAATAATACGGACACTGTGTCATCATAATACATTAAATAGAATACCTGCACCAAATGCTGGAGTGTTGGTGGTGCCAAATCCTGTAGTCCCGAAAGCCGGTGCTGATGTTGCTGGAGTACCAAACAAGCCTGTAGAAGGTTGTGATGTCGCTCCCAATCCAAATCCAGGCGTAGCTGGTCTAAAAAGGTTGCAACATTATTTTACTATTCTTTTTTTTTTAAAATGGTTTTGAGGTTATGATATAGCATTTTTTTATGTGTTTGCCGTCAGAAAGATTATGAAATAGTTTTTAAATCTCACGGCATAGAGCAAGTTACGAGAAAAGAAGACGCAACTTGAAACAATAATCTTTCTATTAAAGTTTTTTATTTATGCAAGCCTCTTACAATACTTACTTGTTAGCGCCAAAACTAAAACCACCCGAGAGTCCTGTGTTAGCAGGAGCGCTCGCCGGTGTCCCGAAGGAAAACGACATTTTTACAATTTTTCACTTTTATTTCACAGATTACGGAATAGCAACGTTAGCAATAAAACTTATACGAAAGCGCAAATTATCACATCGCAGCCATTTTTTCAAATTTTTATTTTTTTATTAAGAGTTTTGGCTTGGATTGAAGTCTTTTGAGCCATGTCTTCGTTTAATTATCGGGATCCTTATTATATTTTCCATTGTGTGTATACAACATTATGTTTTCAATTTTATTTCTCTTAAAGAACTTGGTTCTCTTGTTTGGGCTTTCTAAATAATCTTGTAAGCGGTGGGAGTGTTTTCAATTTCACATAAATCACATTATTGTCACTTTGAACAAAAACTTTGAATTTGTAATTACTGGAATCTTCAGGATAAACCCTTTTGTAATTTGATTTAAAATAAGAAATATAGTTCTAAGTTTTTTTTTCGTATTATCTTCATAATATACATAAAAATAAAATTAATGTTTGTAAAAACTATGCTTGTAGTTGTAACTTCAAAATCCCGCCATTTTTTAACTTTTTCAAACTGCTTTACTTAATACTGAGCCGAGTAGAGTTGTCCAAAGAATCGATTGAGAATCACGATCCGTCTGAGAATCGAGTCCGTGGACCCTATCAATTCATTATTTTTCAATAGATTTTTTTCCACTGTTGATTTGAATCGTTTATAAGACATTTTCATGAAGAACACATTAACGAACAAAATAATTCTTTCTTTAGAAGAATGAAATAAACAAGAAAAAACATTATTTTTACTTAAAGCAGAGCTTTTATCAAAAAATTATAGCTGTTAAGGTCTATTTCATTCTACTCTGTCCTTAGACTATACAAACCAACTCTGTCTATGCAAAGTGGAAATAAAAAATGGTAAAAACTTCTGTGCAAAATCGAGCTCACGCGGTAATACTTAGTTTGTTTTCTTTGCTTGAAAACTGTCTATTACATAGCCTAATGTCATTCGTGCTTTACTAAAAGGGGGTTTTCATTATCCTGCATTGCAGTAGGTATGCCTTGCCGTCCGCCGCGTAAAGCAAGATAGTCTAAGGGTCGTATTCTAGAACTCTACTCAATGCTTAAGTCAGGACTTGAGTATGATTCAAAGCACTCGAAATCATACTCAAGTCCCTGCCATTAGGGTCGTATTTCCAGTGCTTGTGTTGCCAGTGCAATCCTGACTTGAGCATTGAATAGAGTTCTAGAATACGAACCTAAGAGTCGTATTCTAGAACTCTACTCAATGCTCAAGTCAGGATTTGAGTATGGTTTAAAGCACTCGAAATCATACTCAAGTCCCTGCCATTAGGGTCGTATTTCCAGTGCTTGTGTTTCAATTGCAATCATGACTTGAGCATTGAGTAGAGTTCTCGAATATGACCATAAGAGTCGCAGCGTGCAAGCCATCCTGCAATCCTGCAATGCGTCTTGCGAGACTTCAAACGTGGGCCATACGCAGGATAGTGTGTGAGCAGGCTCCTGCATGCGCGGCGGACTTCCATGCAAGTAGTGAATGGGCCGTTTAATAACAACGAGAAACTGCATGTACGGATTTGTATAGTGTATGCTTTGTAACAAAATGCGGTACTTTTTGCACGCGGTATACACGTAGGTATCATTGCGGTGAAACTCGACTGTGTAGACAGGTCTTAGGAATGTACTTCTAATTACTGTGCAATTAAGTAGGTAAGCGGAATCTTTACAATCTTTAGATTTGGCCATTTAAAATTATTTTATACTTTATATATACCTATATAAAGTATAAAATAACCTTAGGTACCTACCTAAAGCATTAGTAAGTCTTCCAGTTCTTCTCTTACTTGTTTATTCAATTACTTCCTTGTTAGGAGTACCTAATTCAAAGTATATAAATATTCCTCTATACATAAAACCTTTGGCTCGTATACATATACGTATACAAATACATGTATTTATAACATTTTTATTTAGTAGCAGTAATTCCTTGTGAAAGAGTTCGTCCAGGGAAGTATGTACTGCCACGTTACCTATTTCTGCCGTCAAGTACTAATGTCAGCATTACCTACTGTGTTCCGGGTTTGAAGGGTAAAGGTGCTGGTGAAATTACAGGCACATGTGGGACTTGTCAACATATGTCTCAGGGTGACAGGTGCAGAAGCAGTGCTCCTCAAATCTTTGCGATTTAAAGCTCTGAGTGGTAGGTACTGCAACTGTTATGGACAGACGTTTAGCTTACCACCAGCCACACAGCTTGTTTGTCTCGTCACTTGATATTATAAAAAAAACTTGCATATTCTTTCCTATTGACACTCACACATTTATAACACTAACGTATTTTTGTCTATTTATAAAATGTACTCTATGCTCTTATTCATGACTGTCAGTAAGGCTACCGAGTCGCAGTGCGTACTATTTTTTAAATCTAGTCGAGAAATACATTAAAAGAACAAAATAAACCTATTTACTTATTAAAAAAAAATACAGTGCAACACAGACTAAAATCATCAAAATGAATTTCCTTGCGAATGCGGGTTACCTTGCGTCTTCCGTGAAACCAAGTTGTTTTGCTACGCCACTGTGGACTGCTGTCAAAATCACAATGAACCAAGCAGTGTTGCCTCCAGAACATCCTTTGCTGCCAAAAGCTTACGAACCTATTGCTCAAGAAAATCAGTTAAGGGTTCTCAAAACCGGGTCCCCCAGAGCGGCATCCGGCTTTATGTCACCACACGACAATGTAGATGACCTGACTTCTTTCCGTGGAGTGTAAATGAAAAAATAAAATCCTTTGTTTCCATCCCATGAGCAATTTTTTGATGCTTGCCTCTAGTACCCCGCTATTGCTTCTGAAGAGCCTTTCTTGGTGACTTGGTGAATGAATGCTTGAATTGAAGAATTGCTTATACTCTAATATAGTTGGATAGATCTGATTCAATATTCTTGATTTGATGTCGATCAAAAGATTCCAGTGTTGTAATGTATAAATAATGTCTAAAAGAATTTTCGTGAGATAGAATGTTGTTTTATGTATCGCTGTCTAAAATGTTTAATAAAATTGTTTATTTTTTAAATTGTTTATTGTTTATTGTCAATGCTTTGTTTGCTAATTATTTAATCTAATAAATTTCTGTGTGTATATCAAATGTTAATTTCAACTTGTACAGTCATGTCAGAGTGTTGTCGACAAGTTCAGGTCCTCAAATCAGGGGCAGCGCCGGCGTTAGCCTATGTAGCGCCCGGGTTCAGTCAATACCTGCCTGATTGCCTCTGTGCACTTATCTTAATTATTAAAATATTTTATTCAATTATATTATACGTTGAAAATAACAAGTCGCAATAATGTCAGGTTTAAATAAATATCTAATTATTTTCTATCTAAAATATTCTTGAATTGAACAAAAAGAACAGTTGGACAACCATTTAAATAACTTTTTTCGGAACATTGTATTTGACGTATTTTTTATCTCAATTGGTAGCGAATTATATATTTTGACACACATAGGTAGACAGTTACGATGGTACACTTCTCTTTTTATGTTCACCAGTACAGTAAGTGTGTACGGAAACCTCGTGTTAAATAAAGTTCATGTCGTTTGAATAATGAATAATTTTGCTTGACGAAGGTACAGGCACTCAAAATATAAATGCAAGGCACTGTTAATAAATTTATTTTCGTAAATAGTGGTTTGCACGAAGTTACAAGTGATGTGTTGCAAATCGATCTAACGCTGTGCTATTGTGAGATAAGGACTCTGTCAATGTTACATGAGTTGCCCCAGATCAGAATACCGTAAGCTGTCACTGAAACAATATACCCATGATAAGCCTGAAGAGCAACAGTTTGGCTGGCAGTTTTAGATAGACGCCAAAAACCATATGAAAAGCGGTAAATTTTACATGTTTGGTCAATGTGTGAATTCCAAGAACATCCACGGTCTAAAACGATGCCCAGAAACTTTATTTCATCACTACTGTTGATTTTTTCGTTATTATATGCAATATTTAAGTCTAGACTCCTTGAGTTTACATTGCAGAAATTAACTGCCTTAGTTTTGCTTAGATTAACATTCAAATTGTTCAATCTTAACCAACCAAGGACACCAGCAACAGTTTTGTTTAACTCCAGATTATGAAGTTCTCTGTTAACGTTGGGAACTAGTACGGAAAAGTCATCCGCATAGAGTATACATTAATGCTCGGTTACTGCAGGAAGATCATTGATATGGATCAAAGATAGGAGTGGGCCCAAGACACTTCCTTGAGGAACACCCATATTAATTTGCCGCGATTTTGACCTAAATTTATTTGTATTCCGTTTCTGAATCAACCTTGTCACCTCTACACATTCCTGTCTATCCTTGATGTAACTGTTCTACCATGCGAGAGCTGTACCTCGTATGCTGTAAAAATCACACTTGTGTAATAGTATAGTATGGGATACAAAATCAAACGCTTTGGTCAAAGAAAATTCCCGTCATGAGTGTGCTATTATTCAAACTTAAAAGCAGCAGTGGTAGTCGATCTGCCCTTCTGAAAGCCGTGTTGGTCATCATTTAATATATTGTATTTTTCGAAAAAGCCAGTAAGTCTATTGTGTATAGCTTTTTCAAAGACTTTACTAAGTACTGGTATTGGACGAGCAATTGGACGATAGTTGGTTATATCCTTTTTATCACCTTTTTTGTGGATAGGCGTGATAATTGTAACTTTAGTTTTTGTGGAAACACTCCTTCTGTAAATGAAATATTAATCAAGTGACTCAAAATGGGGGCTAAGGTAGAAGCGGCAAATTTAATTACAGAGGTCGGTATTTCGTCATAACCAGACGATTTGGTGTTATTTAAGGCCTTTATAAGTTTGAGGATTTCGTTCGGAGTACTAGGACAAAGAAAGATGCTGTTTGGCAACCTGTTCATCCCATTGATAGTTGGTTTATTAACCTTATCATTATTTATAATTTTTGAAGTAGATGTGTTTATTAGACTATTGCTGAATGCTTCCGCTATGTCAGTAGAATCATTCAATATT